GATCGACGCCATTCAAACGACTAGAATATAATATGGTAAATGCGAATTACATCTTATTGATGATCTAGGCCACAGGTCTTTGTTGCTTTCTCTCTTACTAAATTTTTTATTTATGATGTCAGATGAACGAGGGAACTGGCGAAGTACCATCTGCTTCTCAAGTTTGGATGGCAAAGCGTACCACTTTGGATGCAAATGATAAACACGTGTGAAACACCACGAGGAAATATGAGTAGTTTCTTAGTTGGTTCAATTTGTTTGAGAGCTGTGTATTTGGAGTACGCTTTTAAGACACAACTGTTTTGCCTTGGTTCTTATTTACAAAATGCTATCAGTAGTGATCACTGAAAGTTCTTGGTTGAATAGAAACCTTAAAAGTTCTCTGCCATGTTTTAAGTTTTTGTTACTTATGTGCCTAATCCTAATCAGTTGATGGATGATGTCTCAATGAATATATTGTACTCTTTTCTGTGTCAATGAAATGAAAGATGTCAAATGCTCTAATGAAGAAACTTCAAAGATTAACCGGGCAAGCTATAAAATGATCTATGTACGAATTAAGGACAATAAACCCCCAGAGTCTCAAGAACTTTGAAACTCTGCAATATCAGCTAGAGTTTGTCCTCTTGTAATGTAAAGTAATTTTATAATTATAATTAATAATCAAAGTTTTCAGTGTTACAGAGATAAATAAATAGCTGGGTTCATGATGGTGAGATCATGCCTCCTGACAAAACATAATCAAAGTGATGAACTAGGAAAAAGAGGACAAAATTGTTAATATATTGTAAAACCACTACTAAATGGAGTGAATTAAGCTGCTACTTGGTGTGGCGGGCCTTTTAGCCAAAATTTTGGCGCTCCCTTTTACCAAAAATTTCAAACTTCAGCCGGCAAACACCTCCTATTTCTTTTCCCGGTAAAACCAGCACAACTTCCCTCCTACCTCTAATTTTCGGCGGCCATAAATTTGGTTTTGGCGGCGAAATCTGATTTCCCGACTTGATTTCTTTCCTTAAGATAGACCCAAGTCGTTTTAATATATCCCCCCCCTCCCCCTAGTTGTAGCTTCCGCAACTTTGTTCCCGTCCTTTTCCTAGGTTTGGTTACGCCGTGACTGGGTTCTTCCTTCGACCTCTGTTGTGCTCGGTAAGCTAATCGTTGCCACCACCTGGTTCGTTTCCGTTCATGATTGCTCATCCTTTAGCTTTTAAAAATACGCTTTCCGAGCTGTATCTCTGCCTCTCTTTTCTTATATCCGTCCCTTGTTCCTTGTACGTAGGGTAAAGGTCATTGTATGCAATATATAGGTATACAATCTTTTATTTTCGTTCTCATTCTAACACTGATGGTAAAATCTCTATTGCAGGAATGATGCGCGCAACGAAAAACAGAGCTAAACTAAGATCACGTCCCACCCTCATTGCTACGGACACAGAAATCGAAAATATGTCGCGTGTTGTAGAAACGGAAGCGCCTTCGTCTAACATGGAAGGTAATGAATTTCTTTTTATCTTCGTTCAAGAGTAGAATGAAGTTGTTTAGTTGGTAGTAGTAAACTGAACCTACAATCTTTCATTGAGCTGCGGATGCTATTGGTGTGCCTGCAAGAAGCATATTGAAGTGGGACTTAGAGACAAAGTAGGATGCTATTCTTGTTTTCTTTTCACAACTTTGTTGTTGCTGTTTATTTTTTGTTTGCATAAGCTAAATCCGTGGAACAGCCATGCCATTGGAACCTTGTCATTTGGCTGATTCTTTATTGTTAGCATATGATCTTGTTCTTGAACTTTCTGCTTTTCTGCATAATAAACTCTGCATTACCTATATATAAAAAATATACTACTGTGTTCGAGTTGTACTAGTAGTTCAAGTAATAATTCAATTTTGGTTCAACCTACTTATTTTAAAGGTAGCAGATTAACTTCCCCACTTCGTCCAGAACTCATGGAAGAAGTTGCTACACATGAAACTGCTAAAGGTATTATGATTGCCGAGTAATTCCATTGGTGTTATATGATGTGTAAATTTTTAACTTTTCAATTTATTTTTCCCAGTAGGCACTTCCAAAAGTCATGTTGGCAGCAGAGGCATATATAAAGGAATCGACTTGGATAAGAAAACAAAATCCAAGAAGGAGAAGTTGCCTATATATTTTATGTCGGGCAAGAAACATTTTCGTCCTGTTGGCCCGAATGAAAGATCACTAAATATGTGGTTGGCATTTTGCGTTCGATCGGTGATTGGGGCTCCGATTCATGACTACCCCACTATACTTCCACAGTATAGTGACCAATTATGGAGTATGGCAACTGTAAGAAGCTCTATCTCATGTGATGTTTTTCAATAACAATATTAATTGATTAATTCGAGTATTCTTATTACTAGGATTATTTCCAAGTGAGTCTTGATAGTCCTCCTAAGTTGAAGAAAATTGAGGAGTTGGAAAACACACCTCCGCCAGAGTCGCTTGAAGTCAAGAAGTATAAATTTAGAGAGCATTGTTTAAATGAAATGAGAGCCAGCTATAGAAAATATAGGTCAAGATTGCATGACAAGTACAAGAAGTATGAAACAGATGAAGAGCGGATGGAGCATATCCCTGAAGGATTATCTGCAGAAGATTGGCAACAAATGTTGGAACTGTTTGCATCTCCAGAATTTAAGGTAGTATTCTCCTTTTATAATTATTGCCATTTTTATAGTTGTTAGGAATTATCGCACTCTTTTTTACTATGTGCACTTTTAGCAAACAAATGTGTTAAATTTAATTGTTTTTGTACAGGCTCTTAGTTTGAAAAATGCTAGTAATCGCTCAAATCAAAAGGTCATTTGCACAAACAGAATATGATATGGTAAATTTGATTTTCAATTTTGTTGGATGCCAAATCATGTATTTGTCGCTCCTTATTGATTAAAGTTTAAATTATGATACTAGATTGATGAGAAAACTGGAAAACTACCATCTGCCTCGGAAGTTTGGATGGCACAACATAGCAGTATGAATTCAAATAATGAGCGGAAGTGGGTGGATAGTTCATCAGAGCATTATTATGCAAGTTCTTTTTATTTGCATTAATCTCTTGTTTTCTTTCAACTATGCTTGAACTAACATGTTATTACATTTTTACTCATTCCAGCATGAGATAAAAAGAACAGAAGAAGAAGTCATGCTTGTGGATGAGACTGTTAAAGATAATGAAGATGTCTTGAGAGTGGTGTTTGGTGCTCGCTCTGGCTATGTTCGCGGAAAAGGTACTGGGTACAAGTCAACTGCAAAGGGTATGACAAATAATCAGAATTGGAAGATAGAAAAACTGGAGGCTCAAGTTGTTGACCTAACTGCAAAATTAGCAGATCAAGGCAAACAAAATCTATCCTTAACCCAAAGGTTCGAAAAATTGATGGAAATGATGGAAAATGAAAGGCTTGAATCATCTTCTCGTAGTGGGCAAGTAAGTAGTCAATTTTCTATCTTATTACTTACATGAATTTTTTCAATACATTTACAAAATCACAATCAGACTAACACACTCATAAAATTAGAGGGAGGATGCTCTCACTTCGAAAGACACACGTGGAGAAGAATATACAAGGGATGAATGTTCTAGTAAGGTATAAAATTTAATACTAAGGTTGAAGATTAAATATATTTAAATTACTAACATTCTCGTTCAAATTCGTTATACAGGCTAGACGTGCGAATAAGAAACGAAGTACACCACACAAGCAGGTTTCGAACTCAAAAAGGAAAAATAGGTACTCAAGAGCCTTAAATTGTTATGGATTTTTATAGCTTTTCTTTTCTAAGATGGCCCAATGCATTTCTTTTCCCAATAGAGTCTTTGCTTCCATTTCATGCAATTGATGTCCTTGGCTCCTTGCCATATATTTAACCGTTAAATTTTGTCTAATTTCACTTCCAGGGAGCTAAGAGAAGAATGATGGTTGTTGGTGGAAACATGGTGCCGTATGAAGAGTTATAAGTGTTAAGTCTTTTTTTTTGTTTGTTAAGAGAGATAATAGAACAAATCATTGATTTAGAACTTGTTATCCAATATTTTTTTAGTTTTTTTCTTGTTTCATTAGAGAATGGTTATTCTTTTAAACTATGAATGTTGGTTTTCCTAGTCTTGGATGGGATGACATTGTAGTAGTTTTTTTCTAATTTTTATGGAGATGATTTTATGATATTTTGCTATAAAATTAATATAGACGACAACTTGTCGCCTCCTAAGATACTGGTGAAGGGACACATGATCGTCCCCATAAATTACAAATGTGACAACCTCTCGTTCCCCAAGACACCATTTAAGTGACACATAGTCGTCCCTAGAATTTACTTAGATGACATTTTAGTGTCCCTCATGCTACCACATAAGGGACAACCCGTCGTCCCAAAATGTTATATGAGTGACAATGACTTGTCCCCAACTATAAAGGTTAAAGACAATAGGTCGTCCCTATAAGTTAAATACGTGACAAACTGACGCCCCTAAAGACACTTCTTAAGGGATGATTGGTTGTCCTTACCAGTGAATAGGTGACAATTAGGCATCTCCAATAATACAGTTTAAGGGACAATTGATCGTCCCCACAAGTGATACATGAGACAATTAGTCGTCTCCAAAGACACATGCTAAGGGACAATAGGTCGTTCATATGAGTTACATAGGGGACAATTAGTCGTTCCCGAAAGTCACATAAGTAACAACTCCTCGTCCCCTAATACAGAACTTAAGGGACAATTGTTTGTCCCTAAAAGTAATAGGTGACAACTTGTCGTCTCTAAAGATATAGTATAGGAGACCACTCTTAGTCCTTGAATAAAGGTTTCGGGGACGAATTTTGGACTCCAATTTGACACCTATAGGAATGACATGTCGAACCTATAAAAAGAAAAGGGGACAACAAATTATCCCCATATTGTCCCAACTCAATTATGAAATCAATTATGTGGGACAATAGGTTGTCCCTAGAAATGATGTTTAGGGGACGACTTATTATCGCTAAAGTTATTACTATGGGGACGACATATTGTCGCTACAGTTATAGCTATGGGGACGACATTTTGTCTTTCATGGACAATAAACGAGACGACGACTTGCGAGTATTGGGGATGACTGTCGTCCCTAGTAATGGGGACGACCTAGATTTTTGTCGTCCCCAAAAGAATAGAGGACAAGAGTATAGGGAACCACTCTTTGGGGATGACTAAGTCGTCCCCAACAACTATAGGGACGATTTTTCCTATTTCCGGGGACGACTTTTGTCGTCCCCAAACCTCATCTTTTTTGTAGTGTATTATTCTTACATTGAAAATGTTAAAATAGAAAATTTACTAATTTAGAAAATGTAAAGTACAAAAACACCATCCGAAGACTATAGGCATTCCCAAGACCCTTGTGATGCCGATGATTATGGAACTGCCACTTTGAAAGATCTACACCATCACTTGTTCTAATTTTTGCAGCAATCTATCATTCCTTGGATAGCCACAACTCACAAGAAGATCTTCAACATCCCTTGCTCTAATGTCGAAAAGATCTCCATTATCCCTAGTATCGCCTATGGACATTGTTCTTCCTCTGGCTAGACTAACCCCTTCAAGTCATCATATTTATGATGCAAACAATTACATAAGAAACAAAAATGATCCAGTAGCTTCAAGAAGAACAAAATTAACATACGAGATCAAATTTTCTTATGTCCAACACGTTCTTAGTGATAGGTCGAAGGATCATAGAAAGTAAACCTCCTTAGATAACCACAATTCATATTCTCGGAGCCTTCCCGCCGATGCTATAGCCTTGCAAGAGGTTTGTCAGAACAGAAGCGTGGCAATTGAAACCAACACGAACGAACACAATTTTAATGTGGTTCGCTAACACAATGTGTGCTAGCTAATCCACGGGCAGGGGGACAAATTTCACTAATTTGAGGAGAGTACAGGTTACAAACCAAATTCCAAACGGACAAACCAAACAAACTAACCCTGACTGACCCCCACTACATACTAGGGTGATGAAGAGTATTTATAGAACTCTTCTCCTAATCCCAAACAGAATACCAAACACCTTTTCCCAAACATACAAGGAAAAAGTCAAAACAAAACCCAAACCCAAACAGAATAGGCCTAAAACACAAAACAAACCCAAATCAAATTCAAGTCATATTCTAACAATCTCCACCTTGACTTGAATTCTCTGTCAAATACCAAATGTACCAGACGCAACCAAAGTTGCCAGATGTGCCAGACGTGATCGAAATCACCAAACCCAAACGCGATGCAAATCGCCAAACTCAGATGCAATCAAGATTGCCAGACATACCAAACTTCTCCAAATCAGCTGTACCAGAATCTCCCCTGCCTCTAAATGCCCCTAAGGGCGGTCAACAACTCAAACCATTCGGCAAGTCCAACCCATGCTGAGACTTGCCATTCAAAACCAGTTTGGTGCACTTATCACCAACAAAACATGTCAAAACAGAACCTTGTAGATTATACAAAGCACCCCGCTTGACACCTTTCAAAATCACCTTAGAACCCTTGTAGACAGACACACTCCACCTTCACCTTTGAAGCTAAAATCCTTGCTGTCCAGTAGACTCAAAGATATCAGATTCTTAGTCATCTCTGGAATATGCCTAACATTGTTCAAGGTGCGAACAGAACCATCATGTGTCCTCATTCTGACGGAGCCTCTTCCAACAATCTTACAGAAAGCACCATTGGCCATAGAAACATGTCCTCCATCTATCTGCTCATAAGATGAAAAACACTCCCTGCTTGGACACATATGATAATCAGCTGCAGTATCTAAATACCACACATCCTGATGATGTACCTGTTCATTCACTGCTAAGGCTAAACCATCTTCAGAATCAGAGTTAGTTTCTTCCGCCACAGCAGCGGATGATTCCTTCTTCTCCTGATATTTCTTTAGCTTAGGACAATCAAATTTCCAATGTCCTTTCTCCTTGCAGTAATGACAGATATCATCCTTCAAACCAGCAGAATTCGAATTTGTATTCGCCTTCCTATTACCAGATTGTTGTCTCCTACTACTAGTAGCAGCCAACCCAGATGCCTGATTTTCCGAACCTGAACCAGATGCCTTATGTCGAACCTCTCTAGTATGTAGAGCAGATCTGACATCTTCCAAAGACATACTATCTTTCCCAGCAATAAAAGAATCCACAAAATTCTCATATGACTGTGGCAAAGATACTAACAGAATTAAGGCAGCATCCTCATCATCTATTTTAACACTAGCATTGTGCCCGGCCCGTTGGCCGGTGGAGCACAAAATCTCACGTGTATTTTGGTTTACTCTATTGATCGGTGGAGTATAGAAGTTGTACATATATACTCTCTTCTAGTTAAATTATTCGCATATGGTACTTTTATATCCTAATCCTATCCAAAGTCCAAACCTACCCGTTATCCAAACTCATATATACTTCATCCATGTCCTTACTTTACTTGAATTTGGGTGAAAGTATCATAATTGATTAATTGAAAATGACTAAATTGTGTATTGCATAGCTTCAATTATATTATTCAATATTCATCAATATATGATGAGCCTTGAATAAAAGGCCTTACTATCAGTTCCCGTGATCAATGTAGTTAATATCGTGCTTTAAATTTTAAAAACTTACGATTTTACGTTTTTAGGACACTATAACTACACAAAATCTCAGTTTTTATAACTTACGTAGTTAAAACTCTGCTTTAAAACTTAAAAACTTACGATTTTATGCTTCTAGATCACCAAAACGTTTCTATGTAAAAACTCGCTTTTAATAATATTGTCCATGATCACTGAAATTACCTTTTATCAACATTAATATCAACATCAATTCCTGCATCTAATTACCCATTAAAAAATTCCTCCATCTAATTGTTGTATTTCTAGATCGGACCATGATATTTGCATTTAACTCCATCAGTCTCGATCTCGATTAAATCTCAGTTATGGATTTGATTAGTTGAGACAGTCATCAAGCTTGGTTGTAGATTACTCAGCAACCCATTGGACGAAGGAGTTTTGAGAAAGATAAATAAAATGAAAAAGCTATTCTCGCGGTTTAATAATTTAGAACTAATATCGGGCATGCAGTAGAAAGTACACAAATGGATATACGACTCAAAATGAACAGACTTAATTGTTCCATAATGGTCAGATCAAACCCTTATTGTGGCTAGAAACAGTCGGGTTCTTTGGATCCACTGATGGGCATTCAAAATGGATACACATTTATCTAGAAAAAGTTAAAACATGATCAAAAGCATCACTAATTTACTTATAAAGATACTGCATGCAGTCGGATTAACTCAGCAAAATTGCCAAATGAACAAAAAATCACAATTAGTAATAGCGAATACGAATTCATCATGGAAGGCATAGGAATTTGCAAAGGAAGTTGGGAGTAAACTGATAAGAATCCTCACAGTTATAATTAGTTCATGGCTGAAGCTAAGGTGCTGATCAGTTTCCTTTGTGCTGGCAACTGAGATTAAAACTTTTTATTTGAGATTTGGACTGGACCGTTTAGCTCCTCAATCATGAGGTATGCTTATGTTCTTCTTCATTGCAGTTTCGTTTGCAGTCTTATGAGGTGTGTATATTTGCTTTGAAAACCAGTGAAGCTGCCAATTAATTCCTGGCAGAAGCTAATAGCTACTCATTTCATAGAGAGAGGATCCACTGACCAGGGGAGGGAGGAGCCACGATCAGTAGCTATCCACTGTCGTTTGGTTAAGTCCAAACCCCCCGATAACAATGAATCCGAAGCATATGCTAAGTTCAGAAAGTTCAAATTAGTTGCCGGAAAGGGAATAGAAGGGCAACATCGAGGTTGCTGGGTATAGCGGCAGTGGCGAGGTGGAGGGAATTTTTGAGAGCGTGATTGAAGATGAAGACGTAAGAGAAAGGAATTTTGGGGAGTGGGATCGAACTTGTAATAGATTGAAGATGGAAGCGGACCCAACCTCCCCTTGTCTCCTTCCTCGATTCCCCCTAGCCGCAGAAGAACTACCACCTCCCCACAAAGCATAAAATTTCTTTCTCAATTATGAAATGACGCTTTCTAATCTCTCTTCCAACAATAAATTCACCCGCTATCTTCCAACCATCAGTTCCAATCCCATTATTCCACCAAAAACAACCCAATTTGTCAACAACCTTGTCAAGTCCTCCCCTGCTGCAGCTGTCCTTGTCGATGACCACGCCGCCCCTGGACGTTGGATTCGTCGGTTGTGGGATCGTCATCGAGGATTGGATCTGACTTGGGAGTCGTCGGCGCTTATTGGCGACGAAAATAGTGGAGCTGGTAGAGGGAGAAGGGAGATGAGGGCTGAGAAGAGACGGCAGGAGAGTAGAGGTGAGATTTCCGAGCTGGAAGATAGAAAGCGAGGAAGAGAAAATTGCGAAATATGGGAAGATGCAGATCACCCGAAGTGTACGCCGAGAAAATTGTTTTTGGTAGGAGAGTGGTAACTGCCGGGGAGATGGATTCGGAATTACAGAAAAAACCCTCCGCACTGTGCGGCCTTTTCAGCAGGAGCTGACGTGGCAAAAACTATTTTTTGACATTGCCTTATAGTATTTTGTAGATCAATATTCCGCAGATCTAGCAAGATAGTATTGAGTTGATCTAGATGATTCCTGAGAGACGTACCTTCCTCCATACGCAAACTGAACAAACGTTGCTTCATATGCAACTTGTTGGTTAAAGACTTTGTCATGTATAGACTTTCAAGCTTCAACCACAAACCCGCAGCAGTCTTCTCAGCAGCAACCTCAGTGATTATGTCATCAGCCAAACAAAGCAAGATTGTAGAGTGAGCTTTCTCCTCCAAACTAATCCACTCTTCTTCATCTATGCTTTCCTTCTTCGATTTTCCAGACAATGGAGCCCACAAACCTTGTTGTTTCAACAGTGCTTGCATCTTGATCTGCCACAAACTAAAACTGTTTCTTCCGGTAAACTTTTCAATCTTAGCAGCCATTCTTACTATCAAACAAACTCCAACCAAACTCCATAAAGCAAAACTTCAGTCCAGCGCCAAATTCCCAACACCGCAACCAAAGGCTCTGATACCACTTGTCAAAATCGGGGCGCTCAATTAGTATGATATTGTCCGCTTTGGGCCAAGCCCGCACGGTTTTACTCTTGGGTGTCCTCCCCAAAAGGCCTCGTACTAATGAGATTGGTGGACACTAATATACAAGGGTTCCTTCCCTTGTATAACCGATGTGGTACTTGGATTGTCCCATAACAAGGTTGCTGCTACTTTTTTTTATTGGTAACGCTGGAGGAGGGCAGAGGTTGGTGGGGATCGTTCAGTCGACGGAAGTTCACGCGAAGAGCTTTGCTTTCGGCGTCTGTGGTCTTGTGAAAGGAGGAAGGCATGGGGGGGTTTGTGACTCTTGCGTTGTTTAGGTTTAATTAGGGTTATCTAATGATGAAGGGATCTACGGTTTAGCCCACTATTACACCAGGTTGGTCCCCTTAAACTACTTAATGGAGAGTAATCTTAGCCCTGACAAAGAGCACGTTTTCAGCTCTTTTGTTCTTTGTATTCCTTTCACTTTCCATGACACCAAATCTCAAATGTTATCCAACTTGGTTTTGAGGGAACTTATATGTACTTATATGTTGTCCTGGTATAATTTCGGCGCAATTTTTATTTTATGTTTTTGTGGTTTGATGAGCTTTGAAGGGTATTTAATTATTTCCGTTTGATATTGGTAAATTTATTGGGATGTTTTAATTATTTTGTTCAATTGCTCACGAGATTTATCAAAGTGAATTATGTCTGTTTAAACTATATCAACAAAAAATAATTGGGTTAATACCACTGGAAATACCATCCTTTAGCGAAAGTGTCATTTATATTACGTACTTTCAATAAACACAAAAATATTCCAACGTATTAGGGGTTTGTGTCATTTGTGTTACACAAATTTTTGTTGACCGTTAGAATTGACGGTTGACCTGACGGTGGTCAACTTATGTTTGACTATTGCTTATGTGGCGCTTAGGTGTCACCCGCATATGTGCCACGTAAGAAATTACTATTTTAAAAATATTAATTTTATTTCAAAAATAAATAAATAAATATTATTAATTTATTTTAAAATACTTTTTTTCTAAATAATCTTTCTCTCGCCTCCCCGTCGTTATGCCCATCTGCTTCTTCTGTCGATCACCAACGCCGCTCTGACGACGGAGGCAGGGAGCTCGTCTTCTTCCTTCTCGATTAGCGGTCGTTTCTGATCTTCCACTTGCACAGGCGAGCCGGGATCTGGGCGACGCGAGAGAGCTAGTCTAAATCCCTCTTCTCCTCCACTTATATCTCCTTCTCCATCTCACCACCCAATCGCAATCAAACCGCCATCGTAATTTCCGCCGGCAAGATCCGAAGCGCGATGTCATTGAGATAAAAGATAGGGATTTGCACTTTGCAGCGGCTGAAAGGGGAAGGGACGCTGGAGATTTGCGAGGTGGTAGGGGAAGGGACGCTAACCATTTGCAGTTCTGTCTGGGTGGTGGAATCGGAGATTTGCGAGCCTACACCAGCTAGAAATCCCCATTTTCATTCCACGATCTCATCAATCGATTCCCTCACTTTTCCCTCCAATTCTCGAAGCGTCGCCGGCCTTCCGGAGGTCGAATCGTGTTCCGCCAATGATATCGAGAGGAGGTTTGTGAGGGCATTTCGACATAGCGGCGGCTCGACGCGATTCCATGTGGGTGAGGAGGGACGACAGGTGCAATCGCCGATCTCAAGTAGTCCAAGAAAAAGAAGACAGGAGAGATCGATGTAAGGAGTAGGGGAAGGATGAAATTTCGCTCAGGGAGAAGGGGACAGTGGGGATTGAAGTTTATTCCCAATCGAGAGAGATAGGGAAGATAGGGGAGATCAAGAGAGATAAGAAAGTTTCCTTTTCCATTTGTTTTTTTTTATTTTGCTTTTTACAATTTTTTTATTAAAATTTTTCACATCTGCCATGTCATCCATGATTGTGTTTTCTGTTAACTTCTAACAGAAAACTTAACAGTCGGTATACAATTGTCATATCGAAAGTTATGTAATATAAATGACACTTTCGCTAAAGTATGGTATTTCCAGTGGTATTAGCCCAAAATAATTTTATTCAAATTGTTAATTATTTCGTTACTCCTATGTGCTTTCGTGTTCAGCTTGACTCTGCTGTTATTGAACTTCTTGGCATATAATTGAATGTTTTTCCAATATCCGGATAACTAATTATATGGGTTTTCAGGTATATGAGGGGAAAAATTTTCCTCGACATATTTGGTCACAAAATAGTAGACTTAGTGAGATAAATTCTTATCTTTACCAATGGGTGCACGTTTGGTCATAAATACACAACTATTTGACGAAACACAACTGACAATAATATTTTATTCTTCAGAAAAAATGATGGCACCAAAAATTTAATTCAAATAATGAGCTTAGTGACAATGGTTTTTGGTTTTACCGATGAAGTTAGTTTTTGTCACAAATGCTCACGTAATTGACGAAACATTGCTGACGAAAATAAAATTTTGTCTGTAAAAGTAACTGTTGGCGACGAATTTTAGTTTTCGTCGGCAATTTTCGTCACTAATGGCAGCTTTTTTGTAGTGATATTGGTGACAATGATGGTGGTAAAGATGCAGAGATTCATGATAAGAATGTTAATTAGGGAGGATATGATGACAAATCTGTTGATCCTGCTGTTGGTAATGTTGATGATGATAATGGTGGCAAGCAAGGAGATTGTGAGAGTTATGCTGATAAGAGCGTAGGAGATGATATGATGGCTTCGGTGGTGATGGCATTGATTGTGATCTTGTTGATGTTACCATAGAGATGTTGGCAGGGAAAGTATTTGAATGATTTCATTTGAATGTCTTTCTAGTATGTGTTGATGTATTTGTGATTTTCGTAATGATTTTTCTGGTGTGCTGATGATATTGCGATTTGCGAAGGGAGCCAATCCTGATAAGGGAGGGGATGCCAATGTTGTTGAGAAAAAAGGCAAGGGGAATGATTTGATTAGTTCTCAACATGGAGACATATGTTCAGAAGATGTCTCTGGTCTTGTTGATTTTACATTGGATTGGTTGGCCAGGAAGATTACAAAGGTATTTTTATGTTGTGTTTGTGTTGTTCTCTTTCGTGCTTAGATTGTTGTTATTGGTCTGGTTTAGATAACTTGTGGTTTGGTTTAACAAATTTGTGGTCTACTTCTGTTTATGTAGACTGTTGAAAAGGATGTGTTTGATGGGAAAGGAAAATTAGTTATTGTTGTAGGAGCTAAATGAATATATGGCATGGGATCTCAATATTTGTGCAGCCAAGAGCAAGAGATGCCACAAAGTTAAATATGCTGGCAAAGTTTCAACTATCGCCGTTAAATTGAACAGGCGAGTTTGAATGTTACTCAGCATGAAAAGGGGATATGGGATTGAGTTTGCTCTATTCCTACTCTGCTCAACGCGTACACCATGGCTTACCCATAACAGCCGCCCCACCCAGAGCCAAATTGTGGTTCCCTCCGAATTGCAGCCCCGAAACATACCCAGCCGCAACAGCTTAAGCCAGGATTACAGCGGAACTAGCCAACCTAAGCGACTGAGTTACGAGGGATGGATACTCTGACACACCGACGAGAGGGGAGGGAGTGAGACGGTGATGTGAAGGGTTGATGAAATGAGAGAACAAAGCTAGCATGGAGGCAGAAGGAGTGACAGATAACATAGTGTGGTTCATTATCGCCGCCGTTGCGATGTTTCTTTAATTCCTCATGGCATTGGCAGATATGGAGATTTCCAGATTTGTAAGAGGGGCTCCACTCTATGAGATTGTAGGGTTTAACGAAGTATACAGTAAGCGAGGAGCAATGGATTAGGAAGGAAGGAGAAGAAGATAAATCATATTGGATATAGAAATTTAATTTTTATCTTTTTATTTTATTATTGAATTTTAACATAGCATGTTGATTAACTAACGGTCAATGATGTTGGCCGTCTAATTTGACAAAAATTCACGAGTCGGGCCAAATTAGTCTATATGGTGTATAATTGATGTCAGGATAGCAATTTCTAAAATTATAGGCCGAATTCGATTACTTGGGTATAGTTCGGATCATAATAATGTATTAAATTTAGATAAAAATGTATAGTTGTATTAATTAAGAAAGTTAGTTGAGTGCACCATATAAAATAGAAAGTGAATTTCATTCATGTATGTAGTGAAAATGAAATCGATATGCAGTGAAAATGATTGATGTGAAGGTAAATGTCACATATGAACTAAAATTTGTATTTCATAAATGTGGATATTGTCCGTTGATTGCACCCAATAACAAAAAGCTAAACGGTTTTTTATTTTTCCCTTCCAATATCTTCACGTTGCTTCCCTAAAAAAGATTTTATATATATATATCTTCACGTTGCTGTAAATAGTAATAGTAGATTTTCCTATTTTTCTTATGTTAGGCAAGGATAAACATCCCCCACCAAAAGTGGGAACAAATTGATAAGAAATGAGCGGAATGGGAAAAGTAAAAGAAAACAAGATAAGAAGCAAACTGAAAAACGGTAGCTGATGAGTGAGGATTACCTATTCAAACCCACCAAATATAACTTTCAATCCAATTGCGTATTTATCTTTAAACATTAAAAAAAAAAAATACAAGAAGATCAGTATTTATATATACGTGGATTCGTGCAAACAAACCATCTAAATCCCATCTCCATTAACCCCTCCACTTAACTGAACTCTCAGTTCCTCCTGTATTCTCGTTTAGGACGTTTCTCTCTAATTTTCCCCCGTACGTGTAACATCTTTGTGGAGCTTCGCCTCACTCGTGCCTGTGTTTTTTTCTGATTTCTTTCATTTTCCCATTGTTCAGAATCCGAGTGTCGGGCGGCCGCGTCACGATGGGAATGATCCGAATCGGTGCCACAAGGAAAAAACAGAGTCCGGTTTTGGTGGTTGGAATACTAGTGGTCGCTCTGTTTTTGGAGGCGGCGGATGCAGAGTACCGGCGTTACAGAGATCCAACGAAACCGATGGGGGGCCGGATCAGGGACTTGATGGGGCGGATGACATTGCAGGAAAAGATCGGCCAGATGGTTCAGATTGATCGCAAAGTCGCTTCAGCTGACGTCGTGAAAAACTACTTCATCGGTAAGACGACGATAAATAAATAAAAAACAGATCGAGCTGCTTCTGCTCTGTTTATTTTAGGGCAAAAATAAAAAAGACTGCAACTTTATGGGTTGGGGGAGATGCAGGAAGTATATTGAGCGGAGGAGGAAGCGTCCCGGGCCAGAAAGCTTCGCCGGAGGAATGGATCAAGATGGTCAACGAGTACCAAAGGGGCGCCATGTCGACCAGGCTAGGGATTCCGTTGATTTACGGGATCGACGCGGTTCATGGTCACAACAATGTGTACAATGCCACCATTTTCCCTCACAACATCGGCCTCGGAGCTACCAGGTGAGTGATCAGTTTTCAATTTCATCACTCTCCCCCCCTTTTATTATTTCTGGCCGCGCGTGACGAGCTGGATGGATGGATGGATAAATTGTTTTGGACAGAGAGCCAGCGCTGGTGAAGAAGATAGGAGCAGCGACGGCGCTGGAAATGAGAGCCACCGGAATTCCTTACGCTTTTGCGCCCTGTATCGCGGTGAGTTCATTATTGTGGTTGTGGAGAAACAAATCTTGGTGACATCGTCATGTGATGTGACGAAACAAATTCTTGCATGTGTTCCGTTAATAATATGCGTAAGAATCGGTCTTTGGCAGAAATAATAATGTGGCGTTACGTTACGGTTTGCAGGTGTGCAGAGATCCGAGATGGGGGCGGTGCTACGAGAGCTACAGCGAGGATACGGAGATAGTGAAGGCAATGACGGAGCTAATCCCAGGCCTCCAAGGAGATGTTCCTGCTGACGCCCGCAAGGGAGTCCCTTATGTTGCTGGAAAGTAAGTGTCCAATCCAATCCAATATATATATGATTACTTGCTCTCTTCTTTTTATTTAAAGGGTAGGAGCTAGGCCAAGTCCACCCCATGATTTAAATTGTGATCCCTACAACTAATATTGGTGCGTTAATTAAGAGTAACCTACTAGTTAATTGCCTTTATACATGAGGACAAAAACCATACATTTAGAAAAACATACACAAACAACAAATATATTCAAAGTCAACTTTTATGGAAGCCCTAGAATCTATAATTATATTCTGGCCGGGAACCAAAAAAAAGCAGAAAACGGAGGCAGAAAGTAGTGGCTAACATTCTTTGGGGGGTGAAATAATTGATTGATACTGATACAGGAGGAAAGTGGCAGCCTGCGCAAAGCACTTTGTGGGCGACGGCGGGACGGTGAAGGGGATCAATGAGAACAACACCATCATCGACTGGAACGGCCTGAGAAGGATCCACATGCCTGCCTATTTCGCCTCCATCGTCAAAGGTGTCTCCACCGTCATGGTCTCTTACTCAAGCTGGAACGGCGTCAGGATGCACGCCAACCGCAACCTCGTCACCTCCTACCTCAAGGACACTCTCAAGTTCAGGGTACTTGAGAAAATCATTCCGATTTTTTGTAATCCATCGATCGATCCATGCATGAGTGTATTTATACATGTTTTTGCATGGCAAATCTGATCGATCGATCGATGGATGTTGGTGTTGTTTGTTGCTTTAATTTGGTTTCAGGGGTTTGTGATCTCTGACTGGCAAGGAATCGACAGGCTCACCGACCCGCCACACGCCAACTACACTTACTCGGTAGAGAAAGCAGTTGCTGCTGGACTTGACATGGTATACGATATGATAACTCCAATCTTCATCTGTTTCGACGTAGTAAACATGCGTGCATGCATGCAGCTTATTTTGTCTGATGATAATAACTCATCATTAATGTTTTGCAGGTGATGGTTCCACTAAACTACACGGAGTTCATCGATGACCTAACCCTACTGGTGAACAAAGGCGTGATACCGATGAGCCGAATCGACGACGCCGTACGCAGAATCCTGAGAGTTAAGTTCGTGTTGGGACTGTTTGACAACCCAATGGCTGACGATAGCATGGTCAATGAGCTTGGCAAGCAAGTAAGTTACTCATCATTGCCTTTCTAATTAGTAGGTTCAAATTGGAGATTCATAATACACGCAATACTTTTAAACAGGAGCATAGAGAACTGGCGAGAGAAGCAGTGAGGAAATCGCTTGTGCTGTTGAAGAACGGCAAAGACGGTAGTAGTATCCTGCCACTCCCTAAGAAGGCTCCCAAGATACTGGTCGCCGGCTACCACGCTCACAATCTTGGCTACCAGTGTGGTGGATGGACCATCGAATGGGAAGGATTCAGTGGCAACGATAGAACCCCTGGTACGTAAACGGTATATGCGGCGATAATAGACGATATTGAATCTCTCCCAACAACTCGAATCGATGGAATCAAGTGGTTCTTCTTGACACTACTAATTAAATGCATCCAACATTGGAGACTTGGTCTTTTTTTTTTTTTAACGTACGTGCATGCATGCATGGTTGTTACGTTGTTGTTGCAGGAACGACAATCCTGACAGCCATAAAAGCCGCAGTCGACCCGACCACCAAAGTCACCTACGAGGAAGCCCCAACAGCAGACTACGTGAAGGCCAACGACTTCTCGTACGCCATTGTGGTAGTGGGAGAGCATCCCTATGTGGAAACGGGAGGAGACAACCTCAACCTGACCATACCGGATCCCGGCCCAGCCACCATTCGGAATGTCTGCGGATCGGTGAAATGCGTCGTCGTTTTGATCTCCGGCCGTCCGCTGGTGATCGAGCCGTACGTTGACTCAATGGACGGCCTCGTGGCGGCTTGGCTCCCCGGCACGGAAGGTCGAGGCGTGACTGATGTGTTGTTTGGCGACTATGGCTTCACTGGGAAGCTTCCGAGGACGTGGTTTAGGAGAGTGGATCAGCTGCCTATGAATGTTGGGGATAAACATTATGACCCGCTCTTCCCCTTTGGATTTGGGCTCACCACTGAACCGGTGAAAGGGAATTAGAGTAGGGGATTCTTTTCTTCTCATCATTGGCTAGTTCTTATTGTTTTTTTTTTTTGTCATAAATTTCTTATTGTATTATTGGACCAATTAGTATTGATCGAATTCTGCTCATCATATATCCTGGTAAACTGCAAATTCAGTGTTCATACTAAATACAATACTGGAGGGGGGCAGTGTTTTTTTGCTTGCCTGTGCATACATGCGCGTAGATACCATGTTTAAGCCTACAAATTTAAGCAAATGCTTATAGCATTTTTATTGGCTATTAGAAATCTAGGTAGTTAGTGATTGATTAGTAGTTAATAGGTTGTTGAGGATAAATGGGATATTAATTTTTTTAATTAATCTTCACCAATATAAAAAAAAAATTAATGTTAGTAATTACTAATTTCTTTAACTAAACAATGTCGTCTCCTTAGTGCCGCAGTGTTACTCTTGCCTTGCCCGACTATGAGGGTATCAAGCAACGTTGGGATATGGTCAAGCGAATTCACGACATTGTTTTATATCAAACACTGTCGTTTTCTAATCCGCAGTATCGTTTTTAGCTAAACAACACCGCTTGGTTCTACCCGCGACATTGCTTTTCTTTCAACGACACCGTTTTTTTTATCATGCGACATCGAATCAAATGTCGAGACTCATTAATGCGGCATTTAATTTAATCCAGATTAATTTTATGTGTAAACAATGCCCACCCAACTTAGTTTATAAGAATCGATTCTTATGAACTAAGTTGATGACATAATTTTGTCACCTAAAATAAATATGATCAAAATGACCATAAATTTTACAATGCTAATGAGAGAAGAAGTTGGCCATATTTGGCTCAACCAACCAGCAAGCAAAGCAACGCATTATATGGTTACTAAGACATTCAATGCTCAAGATCAATTACCAAGCCCAAACAATATTGCAATGAGATCATAAAATGAACCGTGATTTACCTTTACTTCCAGCCCTCCTTGCAATGTTGTGCAGTCAAAAGGCCGCCACTTCTCTTTTCCTGATCTCTTGCTCCAAACAACGCTGCGACTTACAAGGCTCCATCTTTGGCCAGCTTGCCCAGCCATCAAAACTTTTTAGGCCATATGGGTCTCTCCTTTAAGAAGTAATAAATCCATATTGCGGTGAAGCAGCCGCAACATTGCTCTTGCCAATTATATTATTTATTTTGTCCGACCCCATACTACAATGTGGCGGCCGTCTAACAATACTGTTTTGGCTCACAACTTAACTTTCACTCATCACTGCAGTGATATCATGGCCAAATGACATTTTTTTGGCCAATCATCTTACGCAACATTGCAATGTTGTTTGTTAAACAAATAAGTATGCGAGTCACAGCTTTGGCCGAATTCTTATTTTATTTCATTGCCTTCAACAGTTCGGCAAGTTCCACAGAGCTGTTTGAACTCTCTTTCTTTGCCAGCAACTCTGCAGCAATCTCAACAAAGCTGCTCGCCCCCTTTTTTTTTAGTTTATCTATCATGCGGCCATACAAATTTATATTTAAATTTTTCTATTTATTTGGCCGCAGTGTTTCAACAACCTTTTATTCCCACAACACTGCTTGTCCCAAAACAACATGGTTTTTTCGACAATCTAATTCTAAACACAAACGACCAATTTTGTTCCTCTCCTATCACTACAAGAAAAATGGCTTTTTGCAACCAAACAAATTGGTTACTAAGGTAAAAATTTGGTTATAAATACCTTTTTGCGACCAAAATTTTTTGGTAGCAGCATTGGTCACTATAGCTGCGTTACTAATTCCTAGCGCAACCAAAATGTGGATTGGTAGCAAAAAAGAAAGCTTTCGCAACCAAAATCTCCAATGGTAAAAAAACCTTACTTTTTCGCGACCATTTTAATTTGGTTGTTATAGTCCAACCTAATGGTTGGGAAATATAATTGATTGGTCGCGAAAAATAAAAATGACAACCAATTTTATGTGACTATTAGTAACCAATTTTTTTAATCGCAAATATAATTTACGTACGTTTTATAGGTGACCATTCAATTTGGTCGGGAAATTAACATATGTCAACCAATTATATCATTACAACGACCAATTGTTTAGGTTACGAAAATTTAAAGCAACCATGAAATTTGGTCGTGAAAAGCACATATGCCGACCAATTATATCATTTTAGACGACTAATTATATTTGTTATAAAATTTTAACACAACCATAACAATTGGTCGTGAAAAACATATATCTCAACCAACTAAAACATTTTGGTGACCAATAGAATTGGTTATGAAAGTTTAACGCAACCTTAAAAATTGGTCGTCAAAGATACATATGTTGACCAATCATATCATTTTTGGCAACTAATCATTTTAGTTATGAAATTGTTATGCAACCATAAAATTTGGTCATCAAAAATCCATATACCGACCAATCATATTATCTTAGGCAACTAAATTTATTAGTTATAAAAATTGAACACAACCATAATAATTGGTCGTAAAATATATGAATGGCGACCAACCATATCCTTTACAACTAATTCTTATGGTTATAAAAGTTTAAATGCAATCATAAGAATTGGTTGCGGAAAACATATACGCCAACCAAAAAATTCATTTTATATGACCAATTTTTTCGGTGAGATTTGAGTCACTAAAATGAAAATATAAAAAATTAATAGAATTATAATAAAAAAATTATTTCATATAACAAAATTGTTTACCAACCAAAATTATAATTATACAATTTATTGTTTAGTGACCAAAATCACAATTACACAATCTATTGTTTAGTAAACAAAATTACAATTTATGTTTTGAAGGAAATCACGGTTGTCGACTAGCTTGTTGCTTGCCTTCGTACTCCTTGAGCGTTAACTAATGGTTCCTAATTAGTGAAAGACAGCCCTTGTCCCAGCTAAGTAATGGTAAGCTAAAATCCAAGTGATCATTTCAGGACCCAAAAAAACACAAAGTGAATGGAAAGCTTGTGAAAATGAATTATTAGTATTGATCTCACATAGAAAGCTGTGTTAACGCCAGCGGTGTAGCCAGATTGGAGCTTGATGGAAGTGCCAAAATACTCAGATCGATACGATTTCACTAACTTGAACCCACTTCCTGTAAAAAAAACATCACAAGGCCCAACTAAAGGCCAACAAAGTATCACAGGACTTTACCTATAAATATGCTCCTAGGTCTTCCAAGTAAGGGATCTCTTCTTCTACTCTCCTCATTTTGACATATCATATCTCTCTCTACATTGTCTCTCTCTACATTGGTTCGTAAGACTAATGTTGATCGTCCGAGTGTAGATACAGGGGCCATCCCCACCCTTTCACAGATCGACGGTCACCTTGTTTCTTGGCTGAAACAATTAGCGCGCCAGATAGGAGTAAACCAAATTGTAGAAGAAGAAGCCTTTTGATGGATAGTCCAGATCCGATCGTCGTGATCGTGGTTTGTTTCTTCTTTCTCTGTTCCCTTCCCTAAAACCTTGTTTTGTCTTTTGTTCTGGTTCCACAAAAATCGTTAGAATGAGCTGGAGAAATAGGGGCATCCTTGTAGCTTTCAGATATTCCTATGTTGTCGGTAATAGAAAAAGGCCTTGTGCGAACCGAGTTTCAATCCAACTTTCCTTCCCACCGCAACCATACATGACCCCATCAATCCCTTTTCTATTTTCATTTTTTCTTCCGTTGATGTTTATATTGTTTATTCTGTTCCAATCACCCCCTCCCACAATATATGAACTGAACAAAAAAATAAAAAGGGGAGTGAGATAGAGAATTTCATATCTACTTTCTCTCTCCTAACTAGGGTTTCGGGTGGGAGAAGAATCGGTAGAGAAAGCTCAACCTCTACATGATCCATCCTGATCGAAGAAGAAGATGGTGGCAAAAAAAAAGGTCACCCAGATTCCGCCAAATCTCACCCGCCTCCGGCTAGAGTAATACCCGAGCCCAATGGAGCTGATAAGTAAGCAAAGGCGCGCCTCTCCGGCAAAGACGCGCTTAAAAGGTGTATTGCGCTTGTGGACTCCTCATTCTCTCTAGCAACACGACCTAGCGGTTTCTTTTTTATAAAAAAGTGTGTGATAAGAAATTGGAGCAATAGGCGCCCAGCAATGGATTTAGGCGCTTTCAAAGTCGAGGAATAATGCAGAGGCGGAGAGCACCGAGTAATGGATTTAGGAGCCTTCAAAGTCGAAGAATAATTCAGAGACCGAGACCACGCATGGCTCTCGAGCGTCACACCCCTTCGTTCATTCTCTGAGTTTGGAGCGCCTGACAGAGGTAGATATTCTGAAATTTTGTGATGGAAGGAGAGCGCATACCTCCCAAATGCTAGATTCCCTTGGCGACTCGCCGAATTGGGAGGCACTTTGTCAGGAAAATCTACGGTGAGAAAAGCTGGAGGAACCGAGAAATTAAAATGAAAAGGAAGTCCCCATGCGGTGGTTTGAGCGATACAACGAAACCATATGTTTGTTGGAGAGGCGCATGCTCTCGGTGTGCGTCATAGTAGAGATGGGCATGCGGAAAGTGGAGTATCGATCCACTAATTCGTTCGTCTGCTCATTCTAGAGAGTGAACTTTTGGTGGCAAGCCCAAGTTTCGCTCGAGTCTCTTTATCACCGCCATTCCAAAAACCCAGATATGTTCTTCCTATTTGGGCATCTGTAAGCGCTTAAGTTGTGTCAGGAAGAGCAAGAACCTCCTAATAGTTATGAGTTTGGACTTCAAATTTTGGCCCTTGGAATCAAGAAAGAAGGAGGAGCTGCTAGAGCGTGAAAACTCTAATTCTATCGCTTACTCTCTCCTCGTCGAGCTCCACTTTCAAAGGGTCACTCGAATTTGATTTTTACTACTGTTAATATCATAGAAGGCAGAAGGAAAATTTTCATATCCAAGCTGCATCGCCCGCTGGAGTTTAGGTGGGGTTAATGGCAAACGCCTAGCACCGTCGAACTTACCAGGGAGAGGATCATTGGCAAATTTGTTTTATTATTGGGATATTGTGCTGCCTACTATATAAGAAAGAAGAGAAAGATAGAGAAGTGAGCTCTTGTCCAAAGCATTCATTTATCTTTGGCCAAAGGAAAAGCAGGCGCATAAACCACAGACGACAACTCTAATCGTATACTTCAAATCAGGCGCCTATCATTAACATCAAGCGTCAGCCTGGGATCCAACACACTCATTGAGCTAAGTGCTTTATTCTTTGTGAAATTTGATTTTACCTAAACACAACATTATTTTTTGGTTGGCAATACTCTCTGCTCCCAAATTAAGCGCCCTTATTCAGAAATACTCTACGCGCCCAAATTAAGCGCCCGTGATGAGAAATGCTTTCCGCGCCCATGGTTAGAATTACTCTCCGCGCCCAAATTTAACACACGTGATTTGGAACACTCTATGCGCCCAAATATTACGCACTTGGTTAAAAATAATGTTTGTCTCTAAATATAGCGCTATGAATTGAAAATAGTGGGGCTCGAAAAAACATCAGAGACATAAGTGGGTGGCCTATGAAAAAGGAAGCTTCTAGTCCGTGAGCTTAAAGAAATGAGTATAATGGGCCAAGACCAGCCATGCGCCCTTATTACAAAAAGGGCGCTTAGCTACTACAAGTTTAGCACTCCAATAACAGGCAAACTAATGAGAGCATGTCTCAATTAAAAGTAAAAGATCCATGCCAAAGCTCCCCGTGATTGACTAGTCGAGGGCATCAATGCAGACTTTTACACTCAAAACAAAGTTAATGCCATGAGTCGAGATCATCTCCACACTAAGAGGAACATGCAACACCATAATTCAAAGGCATTCAAAAAAGTGTTGAGGAATAGGTGCATACCAACAAGCTAAAGGGAAACACTATGGTACATATGGAATGCACCAAGGAAGCACTTCCAAGGCTAAGCTAAGTATTTTCCATCACTTATCGAGTTAACTTTGCATGAGTCAAATTCTAATTCTAATGCACTACTTAGTATCCTTGTGGAAACTTTTTTTTGTTTCAAGCGTACTCCATACACTTGGTACGCCAAATCAACACATAGAGAGCACGTCATCAATTTGAAAAAGGAAAATGATGGCGCCTAAGGCAAACTGACGTTCCAATGCGGACACCAATGCTTATGTTTTAGGCACTCCAATTCTAGCCCCAACGAGACATGTCAAAAAGTAAGCTAAGTATTTTCTATCCCTACTCGAGTTACATTCCTGGTTATTGTATGAATCAAATTGTTGCATCACTTAGTCTATTGTGATCATTATTGTGTAATCAATATGATAATGGGGATACAAACCGGGGGACAAAACACCAAAGGTTCTTGCGTGAAACTTGACAAGTGGGGAGACTTTATTTAACCGTCCAGTGCACCACTGGCCGACTAACTGGGGGACAGTTGGGGATAACATGTGCATGCACATTCAGTATTTTTCTAAGGCAAACAAACAATCTTCAATTATGCGCCAAAAATGACGTAACCTTGTTAGACATGAGAAGTGCAATAAATAATTTTTTACATTGCTTGAGTTATATCTCTAACTATGTTGTGAGTCATATTATGTTATATTGCTCAGTCTTTTCATAGTCTCTGACTCTCTGTTGTGAGTTGTTCAATCAGCATGATGTTGGGGGCACGAGGCAACCAACCAGAGTACAAAGAGGTGCACATACATCGAACGTCGGACGTAGAAACCACAAAAGTTTGACAACACGAAGACTTTTAGTTAGGCATTCAGTGTACCACTGAATACCTAACTAGGGGACAATTGTTGGGGTGTAAATATGGCATAGCCCAACCGAATAGTAAATATGGTATGGTAAGCACATATGGACCCAAGCCCATGAAACATCACAAGGTCCAACTGAAGGCCAACAAAGTATCACAGGACTTTACCTATAAATATGCTCCAAGATCTTCCAAGTAAGGGATCTCTTTTTCTACTCTCCTCATTTTGACATATCATATCTCTCTCTACATTGGTTCTTTCTATTTTCATATCGTAAGACTAATGTTGATCGTCGGAGTGTAGATACAGGGGGCCATCCCCACCCTTTCACAGATCGACGGTCACCTTGTTTCTTGGCTGAAACAAAACGCAACAACAATAATACACCACATCAATGTTTTACCTTGAGCGAGACGGAAATAGAAGGAACCGTAGGCCTGCAGAGCGATATTAGTCTCCTTTACTCCGCAACGTTGTGGGGCCAAATATGACAGTGGGTCTGTTTCTTGATTTATGCCCAACAAGCGTGCAAGCTTCCGTAATCCCCACGATTGTCCTGTGTCTTCCTTTATTGATTTGTGGCCACAACATTTTTTTTTACAAGAGGGCATTGCATTTCCATTTCATTGTTGCAAAAGCCAAGTGTTACAGAAGGGGGGATACAACGTCAAGAATCTGAACCCATTCAGTGGGTAAAGTGTTCTTGGCGCAAGACCTAGCTACCCAGTTTGCCATTGAGTTTCTCTTGCGACCAATGTGCTTGATCCGAATCATCGGGCTGTTATCCAGCGTTTGCTTGATACTTCCAATCCAAGCTGCCGCTCGCCAAGGCCATGTCGTCCGATGCTCGCTGAGCGCTTTAACAAGAGTCAAGCAGTCCGAGTGAACAAGGCATGGTGAGCGAAGGGAAGCAGCCAAACGCGAGCCTTCCTCCAGAGCTTTAGCTTCCGCTTCAATAGGGGAGAAACAATGCAGGGACTCAGCCTTACCGTCACACACTTGACCATGGCTGTTCATGACAACGACGCCAAAAGCCACCTCCTGGGGGTCCCTGAAGATTGACTCGTCGCAGTGTATCTCAAAATCATGAGAACTTGGCGGTGGTGAAGCTAGATTCGGTGGTGGGATAAGCTTAGTAGGGAGAGTAGCAGTGGGTGACCTCTTGGGGCAGGAGGTCCATTGTTGATGAGCAGAGGCTGCCTTAGAGATCGTCGATGGGGGCCATGGGGTGGTGTTTTTGAAGATACGCTCGTTTCTTGACTTCCAAGTCTGCCAAAGGAGGAAAATAATCTTCTGGATAGAGCAGATCGGGTACCTGGACGTCAGTGCATGCAGCCATTCCAGGAACGGGATACTTGGATTAGGGTGGGGGAGCGTAGGCCATTCCTTTTTCCAACCTTCATTTGCATGGGGGCATGCAAACAAGCAGTGGTGAATCGACTCGATCGGATGGACACAAAGCGGGCAACTCATGCTAGGGGAGCACTTTCTCATGTGTAGGTTTTCTTTCGAGGCTAGGGCACCTCTAGAAATTTTCCACACAAAGAATTTGAGCTTAGGGGGAATAGCGAGGTTCCATAACCGTTTCCATCGATCCTTGTTCTCGACAGAACACAAATCATGTGTCCTTCAATCATTCTGATACGTTGGTGGAAGAGAAAGAAGGCCGACTTACCCGTGAAGCAGCCATGATCAGTGAATCTCCATGCCCAGAAGTCTTCCAGTGAGTAGGGGTGGGCATTTGGTCGGTTCAGTTCAAACCGAACCAAAATTATGCATACCAGGTCCCCGAATTCTATCAAACCTCAAACCGAATTATAATTCGGTTCGTTCGGTTCAAACCGAATTATAATTCGGTTCGGTTCGGTTTTTCATACAAAACCGAAATAGTGAGGTTAACTTGTATCTTCTCTTTTTTAAATTATTTTTCACCCCTAATGCAAACAATAAATATGCATCATCAATGATAAAATTAAACATTTCAATACATAAGTCATAAAACACTAACATGATTCAAATATTTAAGTCTCATAATAAGTAGAAACATAAAAATCTACCATTTAGAGCTTGCAATTATAATAATTCGGTTTTTCAGTTCGGAATTCGGAAATTCGGTTCGGTCGAAAAGACCCTGATTTCCGAAATATGCCCTTTTCTCTTCCGAATTCCGAACCGAATAACATTAATTCGGTTTGGATAAGTTCGGTTCGGTTTTACCGAACCGTATGCCCACCCCTACCAGTGAGTTTGGGCCAATAGGGATGGCCGCCACTTGTCTCAGATCGTGTGGGCTGAGGAATTGTTCAAGGAGGTCAAACCTCCACTCTCTGTTAATACCATCGATCCAACAGTCCACTGTAGAAGGGTCCGGCCATTCAAACTCAAGCAACCTTCCTGCTCGGTCTCTTCTCCATGGGTCCTGAAAGGTTTTGGTAGATTTCCCGTTGCCAATGTCCCTCTCTTCTCCACAACATTGCTCGACCTTTATACAACGCTGCGGTGAGGGTCTTTTTTTTTGTTTTTTTTTTTAGCCCGCAACGTTGTTTTAATCAAACAACGGTGTTTTACCTTTATTCGATTTACTATCAATTTGTCCTTACCCGCAACGCTGTGGATCCACCCTCTATTGCGGCATGAGCCCCCTTTTTTCTTCTTGTACTAGCACCACTGATTTTAATTAGCCATAAGCTTAGCTGGTACCACTGATGCTTCATATCCTCCCATATTTACAATAGCCAAGTGGCAAATTCACAATGCAAAGTTGTTGACCACCTTGCAACGCTGGGAACTCTACGTTTGGCCGTACTTCTCTTTTATTATTATTATTTTTTTTTTTTTTTGGTGGTACCCTTTTATCTCAGATGGCAAGGACGAGCCAGATTTGGTTTCTCTACTAGGCCTGATAATCGGTTCGGTTGCGGTTTAACCGAATCGATTCGTCGGTTAACCGCCAAAAAAGATAGGCCGTTACCACCAACCGTCACCGAAGCCGAGAGGTTTACGGTTAGCCACCACCGAAACCGCTAACTGCGGTACGGTTAGTCGGCTAAACCGACCCTCACAATTAAAATAAAATAAGGGGAATTTTTGGGTTGTCTCTCTCCTTCTCTCTGGAAATTTCCTAATCCAACTCGCGTATCTCTCTTTCTCTCTCAAAATCTTCTCCAATCTTTGAGATTTCCCTCTTTGACTTCGCTGCTCCTAGCCTCTTCCCCTCTCACTTTGCAGCGACGGTGAGCTGGCAATCGGCTCCGACGAAGGGCGCCGGCGAGGTAGATGGGAGGCGGCGACGACGAGGAAGAATGCAAGGCGGCGAGGATGGAACATGCAAGGCGATGCAGGGGACGACGATTACGACGGCGACCGAAGATCGACCTGCTGCTACTGCCGATAGGCCTTGGATCTGGAGGATGAAGAAGGGGCGGAGACTGAGACCGCTTTGATTCTTTCGGCTTTGCAGTTCTCGTCAACCTCCGCGAATGAAGAAGGACGGGATGGCAACGAAGACCGATGATCAATCTTCACTGCTGCAACCTGCAGCGACCCCTTCTCCTTCTTGGCCTTCTTTTGCTGGATCTCGATGGCGGACGACAGCGATTGAGGATGAAAGATTGCTGGATCTCGATGGCGGGCAACAAAGATTCTTCTTCTAGAGAGCCATGGAGGGGTTGGGACTTGGGTTGGGAGGGAGATTAGGGGAAAAGGAGTGGCGGAGCGGTTATGCGGTCCATCGATTTTATCTCGGTTAGCCACCGACGGTTGCCGGTTAACATAAATCTCCAAAACAGCCCACCAACACCGCCACCGAGGGTAAGTTATCGGTTTTCGGTTCGGTGAATAACCGTTCGGTTCGGATCGGTTTTCGGTTTAATCGAGAAAACGCCAACTGATTATCACCCCTATTCTCTACAGTGTTGCAAGAGAAGCCATTCTTTCTGCAACGATGCATCAACTCTGTTTTTTTTTAACCTTGCTAGATTTATTTATTTAAAATGAAATTTAAGCCAACAAACTTCATCGTTGCTTTTTCCTGGTGTTTTGCTCTGCTTTTCCTTTGTCTATTAAAACTCCCAGTATTGTTTATTGCCAAGCAAACTTGCGGCAAAGAAGGGAAAATAATATATATTATTTTCATTCTTTCTCACGAGTTGCGGTATTGATTGGGTCTTTTTTTTTCATAACCCGGCCAACGCATCTGCCCTCTCAAGCAAACAAGGCAGCCTTGTTTGTACCGTGATTTGTTCAATTTTCTCGACAATGTTGACCAAAAAGCTAAAAATGAAACGGTAGTGCACCAACTTTCTGCAGCGCTGATTTCACCAACGATGTTGTTTGCCCTCCACTCACACTGATGCAGAGCTGTTTCACTCACAAATAGCTAGAAACTCTTTTTTTTATTTCTTCCTCTGTCGTACCGTGTTGACCACTTATATTTTATATAGTCCCGTTTCTTATATATTCTCCTGCCCGCCACGTTGCGGCAAAAATTTTCAAAGCTGCTTGAATTTACTTTATAACAGGTCCGCCTCGTGGCTTTGGCCAAAACGACCATGCTTAGCCAGTTCTTCCACTCTGCGGAAACAAGTATGTTTCCTTGTCAACAACGTTGGCTTCTTCTTAGCAATGCCGCTTAATTAGATTTTTTATAATAATATTTATTTTCTTTTTTATATATATTTATCACATGGTCTAAATTAGCCAAATTTTATTTCTTTCATAATAACTAGTAAAAACAGTCTAGACTTTAGCATAAACCATCATGCCAAAGGTCCACACTCACTGCCAACTCCACGGCTCAAACCAAACAAGCCATCCGTGAATGTCATGACTCATCACAACTGGTTTCACACACATTGGTTTTGATGTTTTAAAATCAATGTTGGCTTGTAACTCTCCAGTTCGTCGAGCTCGAACACCTTTGTTTGAAATTCCACGAGCTCGATTTGGCTTCATCTTAGCCATAGGACCGTGGTAGGGAAAATCATCGGTGTTTTTTACTCTAGGCTGGACATTGAAGTTTCTTAACGTTTTTGTCCAGCCAAACCGACCATGTGGCATCGCTTGCCCAAACTGGTCTTGTTTTGTGAGCTGCACACTCTCACCATGTCGTTGTGGGTATGAGCACCGATGCTAACGAGCTTCATCGACAAGTGTGTGGGTGATTTGCTTACCACTACACTTACCACACAACCACATCGTTTCTTTTGAGCTCCCGCGTGATTTTGGAGTTTGTAGAGCATTATACTTGCCCCGCAATCCACCATTCATAGCAGACTTGTTCCTCTTCGACACTGGTGTGGCAACTCCATGTCGGGCTTGCTTGAACTTGCCCCCCTTTTCACTAGGTGGAGTCTTTGGGGACAACTTACATGGAGGATTCTGTTGATTCATATCAACCCTCGCGGGATTGGTTTTTTTCACGTGATCACCACCTCCATCTTGAATAGTGTCTGTGGTGACCCTAGTTCGATTTTTCTTAGAACAAGGTGGATGTGGCAAACTTATTTGCCACTTACGGTGTTGTTTCTCCTTCAATCCACCACGAGTTGGGATGGCATACCCCCCTAGCGGCTTAGATTGAACAATGTTGTAAAAAAATTCATCTTTCAAGATATCACACTTGTTCTTCCTCATTTTCTGAAACTTATTATAAACACGTTTAAATTTTGTTCTTTGTTGTGGCTTTCGCAAGACAGCTCTTAACTTTCTTGTCCTTCAAAACAATAGTGTTCACAGGAGAACCAACATGAGATTTGTTGACCCCTAACGCCACTGTTTTAGCCACAAGTTTAAGCGAATCCTTATTGGCAATACTGGAAACATGCTCATTTATCATCTCAAAAAATTTATCCATATGTCTTCCAAGAGAATCACAAGGCTTATTTAAAGAGAAAAAATAGAGATTTACCTGCCGGTAATACTCCTCTACAAATCGATGAAGAGACATGAGTGCAACATGCCCATCGATGCTTGACATGGATTGGGGCCACTCCTTCATCCAACCGATATGTCTATCTGCCTCATCTGCTCGACCAACTTCAATGCCGACCATACGCTCCACCTTCACAGATTCTTGTGGAAGATCAACATTGTGTTTTCCATACCGCAGAGCCATATTTCACTTCAAACACACATGTCCAACCAATTGTGCCAAAAATGTTTCCTCAGGAAAACCAAATACCACCGTCGACGCCGATTTTGGTACAGGCGGTGTTGATTTGATAGTTTCATGGTGGAAACTCTTGTAGTGTTGTTTGATCGGATGCACCGCTGATTGCTAAAATCGAGACGACCGTCAAATATCCACCGGGCGGTGTTGATTTGATCGGTGCAACTGACTTCTGAAAACGATGAGGATCGTCAAATATCCACTGCCATGCGATGTTGATTTGATCGATGCACCTCTCAATGGTGAAATCAACGTGACCATCAAATATCCACCGCCGGGCGATGTTGATGTGATCGATGCACCTCTGACTTCTAACCAACGCGACCGTTACTACGGTTTGCGCCTCTCCATACTACGTTCGAACGAGGGTGTTTGAGTTTTTGAGGAATCTACGTTACGACTACTCCTATGGAGATTCCTGTGGAGAGCTCCGCGACTACGCTACGACTATGACTATGGAGATCCTTCCTGGAAGGAGAGCTCCGCGAAGGAGTTATAGAGAAAAAGGGAAGTTTGACAGATGTGTTTCTGTGTTGATTTTTTGGTTTCTCCCTCTCTCTCCTTGCTCCGGTGATTTTATCTGAAATCACTTACGTAGTCTTCACGCCCAGTGGAACTGCTTCCTCAACCGCTCAGTCGTGAACTCCCACGTGTCTTCACTCTTCTCCACGGAGTCATAGTCTTCAACCGCTTTGATCTTCTCTTCACTCCCAGATCTCATGTGCAAGAAAATAACTCTGTTATTTTCATGAGTCTGCGACGTCATTTACACTTCCACCAACAAAGTTTCCATGATGACATCGTTGAACCCATTCACAACATTGCTCAGCTTGCAACACCGTCAAACTCATGGCATCGTTGAACTCCGCGCTATTATTTTGGCCTTCCGGCATCGTTGAATTTTGCTGCCTTGTTTTATTTTACTAAACAATGTTGTTTCAAGTATCGCGGCGTTCTTGGGCTTACTGGCGGTGTCTTTTTTTCCAAACAACTCTGTTTGCTTTTTACTCCGCGAGATTTTTTTATATTAAACAATGTCATTTTTTAGTATAGCGGTACCGTTGGGGATTGACTTCTCGCGGCATTGTTAAATTCTTGCAACATTGTTTTTAACTAAACAATGTCGTCTCCTTATTGTCGCAGTGTTACTCTTGCCTTGCCCGACTATGAAGGTATCAAGCAACGTTGGGATATGGTAAAGCGAATTCACGACATTGTTTTATAACACTGTCGTTTTCTAATCCGCAGTATCATTTTTAGCTAAACAACACCGCTTGGTTCTACCCGCGACATTGCTTGTCTTTCAACGACACCGTTTTTTTATCAAGCGACATCGAATTAAATGCCGAGACTCATTAATACGACATTTAATTTAATCCTAATTAATTTTAGGTGTAAACATATTTATTTTCCTTTTGTTGTTTTCACAGAACGTTGTATGCAGGGTTGTTTGCTAATTACACTACTCGAATCGCTAGAGATAGTTGGGAGTTGGAGATTCAGTGGGCAACACATAATTTCTCGAAGAAGGTGTTTTCCGGCGAGGAAAAACTGGTGTTTGAACTCAATAAATGCACCTTTGACTTCTTGAACAATAACAATAACACGGTTCACTCCTCTCCGAACAATGTTCGAACAAGGGTGTTTGATGGTTTTTTGGGAACAAGCTAAGTTACGTTACTCTACTCCTATGGAAGTTCAGTGAGAGCTCTGAAAAACTAAAAGGTAAGTTGCAGAGAAAAGATAAATTTTGACATTGTGCGTTAAATGTTTGGTTGTGGAACCCCTGCTTCGTCTTCGTTTCCCCTATTTATAGCCATCACTGGTAACCTCCATGTAACTGCCTCTTGTAACCACTGCCTTCCATGTTTGGAACTTGATGTAGGCTGCTTGACACATTGCCTGCCTTACGGGCTTGCCATTTTTCACCTTGCACCTTGATGACTTCACTTGATAGCTAGCCCCTTGTGCCATGGAGGTGTGTTGCTTGGTGAGTGAGGGCTTCTCGCTTGATGGTACTCGTGCTAACCACCCTGGACACTAGGGTGCTTAGGGGTCTGATGGATGCACACTGACACCCTTGGGGTGGCATCATGCTTGCAGGGTCTTGACAAGGTGGTCTACCATGTAATGATATACATGGCTGACCACTTAGAAACTTGATGACTCTGTCTACTATGTACCATGCATAACTACCCACGAGACCTAGCATGCCTGCAACTTGTGATGATGGCACGTTGTGTCTACCCTCTTCTCTGCTTGGGTACTTGAGAGGTGAGTGTCAAAGCAATGCCGACACCAACTCTCCTTGAACGGCATCATGCTTGACACCCTAGTGCTTGGTATCCGGTGCTTGACCCCTTTGGGCGGTATCATGCATGACCCCCCTTGGATGATGTCATGCTTGACCCCCCTTGTACTGTAGTACATGGTAGGTGGTCGAGAGAAAACTCCATATTTAGTCGAATCTCACCCCCACTGTGACTGTAAGGTAGGTGAGTGGTGAGATGGCACCACCACGTCTATGGGTACTCGTGATAGCTCTCCTTGCACGACATCATGCTTGACATCCTAGCTCAAGGTAGGTAGACATCATAGTGCTTGACCCCCCTTGCATGACATCATGCTTGACCCCCCTGGGATAATGTCATGCTTGACCCCCCTGGTGGTTGGGTCTCAACACTTAGCCAAACTTTGCCTTTCTTTGCCACCACGTCTAGGGACTCGTGTTGCCCTTCTTCCCTTGCCACGTCTACAGGTAGTTGATATCACACTCCTAGCACAGCCACATGCCCTAGTGCAAGATAGGTAGGCACCATGGTGCTTAGTGCTTGAACCCCCTTTCATGACATCATGATTGACCCCCCTGGGATGATGTTGACCCTCCTTGTGGTTGGTGTCAACACTTAGCCAATTTTTGCCTTCTTCCCATCACGTCTAGTGACACTATCGATGGCACCCCTTGCACGGCATCATGCTTGATACCGGAGTGCAAGGGTAGGTAGATGGCCATGGTACTTTGTGCTTAACCCCCTTTGGATGATATCATGCTTGACCCTCCTTGTGCTTGGGTCCAACACTTAGCCAACTTTTGTCTTAACTTAAACAAATTTTATTAATATTATTAAGTTGGTCTTGCATGACATCATGCTTGACCCCCCCCCCCCAACCATGCCAACTTGGGTGGTTGATGTTGAAGGGCACTTTGTCCCCTCTTGCATGACAGGTGGGTCAAGTGGTGTGTGTTGAGGTACCTCGTATTAAGTCAAAAATTCATCATTTAGGCCTAACTTAAACCAATTTTATTAATATGATTAAGTTGGCCTTATAAACCACTACCACTCTTTGAAAATAATCAATGTAGTATTAAATGATTTGTTAGTGGTAAACAAAAGGCTTCATTGGCTCTTACTGGAGTTGCAGAAGGTAGATGTTAAGTGGTACTTTATCACTTAAAGTTTTGTTAGATCGACCCAACGAAGAGGTAACTTATAGTGAAGACTGGTGGTGGCGATACTTTCCATTTTTGGGTGGGGTGGGTGGCTGGGTGCTAATTGCTAAATGATAATTATAGGCAGATGGTGTGGATCCAAGGCTCTAGTGTTGCTCTAGTATATAGATGGATATAGCTAGTTTTGACATTTGATTGAAGTATAGGCATAATGTAATCACTTAGCTAGTACATGTTGTAGATGTTTTTTTGGGTAATGTCTATTTTTTATTCAAACATTTTTTAGATTCTTTTTTATCAGCCAAACTTATCGAAATACTAAGAGTTAACCAAATGTTAACTTTCAGTTAGTAATTTTATTAGTAATATTGACTTGGCAACATGATACTAACTTGGAAGAGACACATGAAGGTCATCAAAAAAATTAGTATTTTAACTAAGAAAAGAGTTACAAATTATTTACAATAACGTAAAAATAGCTAATATTTTTATGCATTACAAAAGATTTGGCTAATTAATAGCATTTTAATAGGCTTGAATAATAATAAAAAAATATGAAAAAAGAGTTGGATAAAAAATAGACATTATCCATATTTTTTATGAAATAATACAAAACCAATTCATCCCAAAACATTTAAATATTGGAACAAAAAATGATATGGGAAAAAAATTAAAACCAATAAAATATAAGTTAGGATGAGATTAACGTGTTGCTAACTGACTTCTTGAGCAAAAATCACAATCAAAATAAGTCCTCACCTCATTTATACGATGTTGATATGTAATTGAATTGTCAAACATCACTTGCAAGATGATCAAAGTAGCAGGACACCTATAGGGCATAGTGGTCTAACAAGAATTTTTTTTTTTTTTGGTAGAAAGAGGGACGCTAAAGGGCGCCCCAGCCTGACACTTAAATTAACCGGGTTTGGGAAATACCCAAAACGTCATACAGAATCCAGAAGGACAGACCCGGATCTGAATTCGCCAAAACATGGAAACCTATACTAGCAGAGTGGCCTTTATTGGCAAGGAAATCCGCCACTTTGTTACATTCTCTATAGATGTGGGAAATTCTGACTTCCCAGTTCTGCTGAAGCAATCTCTGAAACTGCAGAAACAGATTATGGTACCTGTGCTACGTCTGATCCTGCGAGGTAAGCATGTTGATTGCAGTAGTGGAGTCCAATTGAAGTAGAACTCTCCTATGCCCGTTCTTCCACGCCATCTGCAATCCTCGAATGGCCGCCATAATTTCTGCCCGGGTAATCGTGCACACTCCAAGGTTCTCCACAAATGCTCCCATACATTTCCCCGTCCAGTCCCGGATAATGCCACCCCCAGCTGCTTCTGATCCGGGTTGCTTTACTGAGCCATCAGTGTTGACACACACCCAGTCTTGAGGTGGTGGTGTCCAAGCTAGCTGCTGAGGAGACCTCTCGTGCGTGTCCTTATGTGAAGCAGTGTCATTTTCCTGAGCTTGTCTGATAGTAGACGTCCAACAACTAATGCGTTGCGCCAAAACGTGATCCTCTTGAGTCAGGTTGTGAAAGACCTCCTCATTCCGTCTTTTCCAGAGGTACCAAGCTGCCACACCGAACAGAAGCCCCTCCTGATCCCTCTTGAGATGTTCATCTAGCCAAGCTGCAAATCCAAGGCCGTAAGTTAGTGATGTCTCTTGAATACCCAGCCTATTCCATACCTGTAGTGAGCTCGGACACTGGCGCAGAATGTGTTCGGTCGTTTCCGGTCCTCTTTTGCACATCGGGCACGTGTCATCTGTCGTCAGTCTCCTCCTTTTTCGCTGCACATTCGTCATTAGCCTGTCATGAAACACCAACCACAGGAAATGTTTAATGCAGTTCGGGCCCGTCCATTTCCAGAGGCGCTTCCAGTGGTGGTGACTGTTGTCCTCCTCCGCCTCCCAAGTTTCGTCACTCAGCCACTCTACTGCCGCGGAATAGGCTGAACGAAGCTTGAACTTCCCATCTGGCTCCATACCCCAAGCAGTAATGTCTTCCCCTGATCCCGGCAAGGGCGGGTCCGTACCTGCAATCAAAGCCAACAAGTTCTCAGTAAGATGCACCTCAATATCCTGCCATTTCCACTCACCTTCAGTAGTGACCATCTCAGCAACGGTCGCCTGCCAGTTAATCCCTTCGCCAGCGCCTGTGATATGGTCACTCAGGATAGTACCCTCTGCCAGCCAAGGATCCGTCCAGAATTGAACATTATGGCCTTCCCGGATGTCTAACAAGAATTTCATTTAAAGTGGTTTATCATGAAAAGTTTGATCATAGGATGATTTTACTTTTACAACAACCTATAATGGTGTTCTTAAACAGAAAGATCTATTTGGTTATTTTTAACATTAAAAACGATCCTAAACATTTTCAGTTTTCTTTCGAATTTCTATGGTTTTATTCCCGAATCACTGATGCCTCTCTTTTCTTCACTATTTTTTATTTTCAAATAGAAAGTTTAAAAGTAAAGAATAATTAGAGTTTGACATGGGTCGGTCAAACAAGTTGAATTTCAAGTTTTGGCCCGTTTTGATCAAGTGTAATTTATAATCACATGGTTCCCTGATACCCGATAAAAATCTCAATCTAAACCAGTTTGGCAGGTGAGTCCGTGTTTACCATCATTTTCTAGGGATACAGGAACGACGGTTCCTATCCCAAATCTTGTTGTTCATTCTTGATTTCTTTAGATTTTATCATGGCTTAGCAAAATCCAGAAAGCACAATGACGACAAGATGAAAGTTTTATAAAATAAATTAATCGGCCAACGGCCGAGTAAAAGCTAGTAACGATTGTGAGATGCTCATTTCCCGAAAACCGGCGGGATAGGCGATTTTTTATTCGATTTTCTGGAATTCTGTTTCTATAAAACTTACTTCATCTCGTCATACTACCAGAAACAATATTGTTTCACAAGATAACAGGTACTTGATTTTGGTTCATAAGGCTGATTTTTTATTCGTTGTATCATTCATGTCTCTTTCCTACTAAAATTCACTATTTTTATCACGTGTTTACAAAAAAAAACTATACAAAAATAAGTTATACACTCCATTACATTATCAAATTTCTTACCTTCCTTCGGCCAACTGGCCGGGACCCACGCTAGTTTATAAGATGTTGATATGTAATTGAATTGTCAAACATCACTTGCAAGATGATCAAAATAGCAGGACACCTATGGGGCATAGTGGTCTAACAAGAATTTCATTTAAAGTGAGTGGGTATATCGAGAAAAGTTTATCATAGGATGATTTTACTTTTACAACATCCTATAATGGTGTTTTTTTCCCAGAAAATGATTATCGATCAAACTACGCTAATGTAACTCTCATTGTCATAGTCGGAGGCAGGTATCTTTGACCTTATCACGGGACAAGGGTAAATTTCAGCGGAAAAAATAACTCCTATATATTTATACAATAATGGAACACAACACCTAGTATAAGAGCATTTTGTCAGGTCGACATAACTCAACTCATTACTTGGTCATAAATATACATATAATTAATTTATTATAGGGGTGGGCAACGGGAAACGGGTATTTGGGTATACCCGTACCCGTCCCTTTTTTAAGGGTTACAGGTACCCATATTACGCGTAATATTTTAAACGGATGGGACTTGGGATTTTACAGTCCTAATATGGGTACCCGCGAATACCCATTTGGGTAATATGGGTACCCGTTGTACCCATTCAAATTACAAAGACAGATTTAATTCATCCCATGCGCCCAGCCCATTTCATTTTCGGCCCTTACCCTTTCGATTTCTCCATTTTCGGCCCTTACCCACTGAGACCGTGAGATGCACCCCTAGCAGACGCGACGCGCAGCTTCTCTATACTGGAATCTCAAGTCTGTCTGGTCCCTGGAGTAGTCTTCTTCGGGACGAGAGAGTAGAGACGAAACCTAGCTCGCCTCCTTCATTCACCGCCGTCGCCGCCTCTGAGCTCTCTCTCAGTCCCTCTCCTCTGCGCAGCCACCGCCTCCATTCCACTCCGCGACCATCGAGGCGTAGACCAGCAGCGAAGCAGCAGCAGGCTTCCTTCTTCTCACTCGGCGGCCAGCAGCAGCAGTCAGGCTTCCTTCTTCTGCTTAAGGTTTGAGATTGAATTTGTTCTACAGAATGTCCATATATATCAGGCCTTTGTGATTGAATTGAATGTGTTGTACAGAATGTCCATATATATCAGGCCTTCTTTGGTTGCTTTCTAATTTTGTATTGAGTTACTTGTTATAATGTTATTTCTTGTGCTAATTACTAGTTAGGTTTCTAATTTCCAATTTGGGTATTTATGGGTAGTATGGGTACCCGTTATCCGTCCCGTACGGGTAATGGGTACTCGTTTCCCATATGGGTTTGGGATATGGGATGGAATTTGGTCTCAAAATGGGACTGGGTACCCGTTTAAAACGGGACGGGTATCTCGTCCCGTCCCGTTGCCCACCCCTAATTTATTATACTATAAACGAAATTCCAATTGCAATAAAGACCTAATCGAATCTCTTTTCTCTTTATGCCTATTCGAGTTTTTTTCCCCAACACCTCTGAAGTTGTCCATCGACAACAGCAATTGCACTAGTTTTGATTCTACCACTTGCAGTGTAGAAATAACATTTTCAGCTTTGAGTTATATTAAAAACAAGTTTCCAATTAAAACTGGCAACTAGTTTTCTAATGATTGTTTAGTGAGATACACTGAAAGAGACTTATGTAAGAGTGTAGACACCAAATGTTTTTGGGCAAAATACATTTGTATAGCCAAAACTTTGACGGTTTAACCCAATATAGCCACTTTTGGAGAAATACCAAAAATAGTCACTTCCACCCAATACTTTAACGGTGTTATCTAACATGCTGACTGTATTAACGGAAAAGCTGACTTGTCAATTTTTTGGTCAATACCAATATGAGGTGGAATTAATACAAAAATAAAAATAAATTATTAAACATTTTTTTATTTACTCTCTGCCCTCTATGTTCTTTCCCTTCCTTTACCCAGACCCAGTCGTCGCTCATCTCATCTCGCTTTCCCTCTCTCCACCGAAAACCTTCTCTCTCTTTGCTTCCCAATAATGGCGATTGATATCCCACCATCATCGTCCCAAAACGTCCTCCCTTCCCGGCCAGTCTTTCCGGCTACCGCACTGGTCACTCAACCCATCCTCGTCTTCATACTTCCTTCCTTCCACACCGCCCATTTCGGTACTTAAATTTAAATCCAAGACCTGCAATCAAACCCAACATCCTCCTCCTCCTCCTCCTCCTCCTCCTGTTGGCATCTTCCTCCTACCACTCCGACGACTTCAAACCCAGGAGTCAACAACACAGCGCCGGTATCTTCAGATCTGGAGATTTTTGCCCGACGTCGATGTAATCAGCCTCCCTTCCCTCTGCTTCATCATTTGACTCAACGAATTTTGATTCCAATCGATTTTGAAACACTGATTTGGGAAGACAGGAAAATTGAATTAGAGAGCGAACGAGAAGAAAAAACCACCACTAATGTCGGTGAAATTCTTCAGCGCTCACTTCGCGGATTTGTGCGCAATTGCTCACTTCGCAGATGGAAAAACCGCTGATGAACCCAGAAGTAGAATGGCTTACCCATAACCTCTATCCAAATTGCGGATCTGGAAAAATCCAGAACCTTCATTTTCTTCATTTTCACCATCTCTCTCAAAGGCACTTCCTCTTCACAGTCACTCTCCAAGGAAACCTCTTCTCATCTTCTTCCTCGGTTTCTGGTCGAGCTTCCTCCCTGACATCCAAGCGCCGCCACCGACAGCGCTAATCACTATGAGGGTTTGGAATCCAAACACAACCCCATGAACTAGAGATGGCAAAGCAATCAGAATCCTGGGTTTGGCGCAGTCGGAGCGGTAGGAGGAGCTGGGTTTTGTTCGTCGGAGAACAAGAACCAGAGAGGGCAGATCAGATATGGAGAAGCAGGGTTCGCTGGTCATTTGGTTCGTTAATCAATGGATTTGATTCTCAAAAGAATAGGGGTCAGAGAGCTCCGGGAAAGAGGAGCAACTCGAGACGCTAGGGAACTATATCGAGGAAAGAAGGATTAGGGTTAGAGCCAGTGAGCTCGAGGTGGAGAAGAGACGGAAAGCAGTGAAGGCGGAGGAGAAGGAAATCAAACGGAGGTGTGATAATTTGGGATCCAGAGAGGGAGAATTGATAGCCAGAGATGAGAGGGAGTTGGGGAGATGAAGAAATTTGGGGAAATTAAAGTAATTATTTTATTAAATTATGATATGTAATTATTAAATAATTTTTAATTGTGACGTGTCACTTTTGACTTATTTGGTGCTGACGTGTGCGCTGAGTTGGCGCCTAGTTAGCAAATCGTCAAAGAAGTTGACGGTGTTAATGACACTGTTAAAGTATATAACGGAAATGGCTATACAAAATCTTGCTATATTTGGTATTTCTCCAAATTTGGCTATTATTGGCACAAACATGAAAGTTTTGGCTATACAAATGTATATTGCCATGTTTTTGTGTCTCTTTCACAATATAAAATCCCGTTGTGGTTGTTTCTAAAAAACAATAATTGTATTATTGAGTTATTTTTATCTATAAAGAATAATTTGTATATATAATTATTTTTATTTATATTTATTAATTCATTGTTAATTAAATATTTATATATTTATTTTATGAAAAAGTATAGGAGCAGTTTCAAATCCTGACTCGGCCACTGCTCATTGTATATTTTTTTTTATGTAGCTCATTGCAGAAATCTTCTCTAAACCCTTTAAGTGAAATCTCAGAGACCAAGCCAACTGTAAACGGTCACTGCCGCTGCCACTGTGTATCAGGCGATTCTCTGGAAACAGATAAAAGAAGTTATCATGAACCTGCGAAATTTCTTACAAATGAAACCTCCATGTCTACTTTTCAGTAATGCCAATTGTTCTTCGTGACGGAACTAGCTACTTAGCTGCAACTAATCAGTTCCCCCACACCACACGGACATCATTTGGTAGGGGTCTGAGATCTGCAATTTTCCCATCACTCTCATTCCATATACATCAGCAAGTTCAAGACAAAAAAATCTTACACTTTGCTTGCTCCATATTAAGTATGCATAAAAACGATAGTTAATCAACCTCTGATTGTATATATTTATATCCTCCTTCACTGTGTGTTTCCGCAGTAAAAAGGATAAACGATAGTGAATCCAAGGAAAAGGAACATTCGGAATGGGCTGGAGGAAAGTTGAGATCCCGAGTTTAGCACTGGGAATACTACTTGCTCTCTATTTGACGGCAGCAGATGCAGAGTACCTGCTCTACAAAGACTCAACCCAGCTGGTCGGCCACCGAATCAAGGACCTGATGGGTCGGATGACATTGCAGGAAAAAATTGGCCAGATGGTTCAAATTGATCGTGCCGTCGCTTCCGCTGATGTAATGAAGAACTATTTCATAGGTAAGCGTAAAGGGGGGAAAATACAGAGCACATTGAAAAAAAAGACTACTTCGATAAATGCTCTGTTTTATGAGAACAGAAATTTGAAAAAAGATTGCAACTTTATGGTGGGGCAGGGAGTGTATTGAGTGGAGGAGGAAGCGTTCCGGCTCAAAAAGCTTCGCCGGGGACATGGATAAAGATGGTCAACGAGTTCCAAACAGGTGCTCTGTCAACCCGGCTCGGAATTCCGATGATCTATGGGGTTGACGCTGTTCATGGTCATAACAATGTCTACAACGCCACCATTTTCCCACACAATATCGGCCTTGGAGCTACTAGGTGATGGCTTCATCTAGTTTCATTCCTCGGAAAAAAAAATTCCAAACTCTTAGTGATTTGGATGATTTCTATTTCAGGGAACCTGAGCTGGTGAAGAGGATAGGCGTGGCAACGGCCCTTGAAGTCAGGGCTACTGGAATGTCATATGCTTTTGCGCCTTGTGTGGCAGTGAGACCTCCTTGAATCTCGTCATGAACTTGTTTGCTTCGATTGTGGTTCCCCGTCGAAAAAATGATGAATTCACAGGTATGTAGAGATCCAAGATGGGGACGATGCTATGAGAGTTACAGTGAGGATCCTGAAATTGTTAATGCCATGACGGAGCTTGTCACCGGCTTGCAAGGAGATATCCCTGCTAACTACCCCAAGGGAATTCCTTACGTCGCAGGAAAGTAAGCAACTTCCACATCTTGCAGCCCTACCAACCTGCCTTTGATACCTCTAGTTTTAAGTCATAGTTTACACAAATCTCGTTATTGAGACAGGACGAATGTGGCAGCCTGTGCTAAGCATTTCGTGGGCGATGGAGGAACAGCAAATGGGATCAATGCAGACAACGCCATACTTGATTGGGATGGTCTGGTGAAAATCCACATGCCTGGATATATCTCCTCCATAACCAAAGGGGTTGCCACTGTCATGATCTCTTACTCCAGCTGGAACAGCATTAAGATGCACACCCACAAGGAAATGATCACCGGCTACCTGAAGGGCGCTCTGAGATTCAGGGTACATGCAACCTTCTTCCTCTTCAATCGCGCTCAAGTACTCTAGAGTTTTTCATAGTGTTCTTCGTTAAGCTGATGTTTCCATTTTGTCCAGGGTTTTGTGATCTCAGACTGGCAAGGAATCGACTTGATCACCAGCCCATCACATGCTAACTACACGTACTCAGTAGAGAAAGCAATCGCTGCAGGAGTCGATATGGTAAATCTCATATTCATATGTGAAATGGGAGGATGGTTTCTTACCTAGTACATGTTGAAGACCTACTTCTGATGCTTTCTTCTGCTAATAATAATATTCCAGGTCATGGTACCATACAACTACACGGAATATATTAATGAACTAACACAACTAGTGAACAATGGGGCCATACCAATGAGCAGAATCGACGATGCAGTGCGAAGAATTCTTAGAGTTAAGTTTGTTATGGGTCTATTTGAGAACCCAATGGCTGATGAGAGTTTGGTGAATGAGCTTGGCAGCCAAGTAAGTATTCTTCCGCCTCCCCCCACTTCTCTGGGTATTCAAATGGAGCATAGAAGCTCAAGTTATTCCTATGAATTTGTAAACAGGAACATAGAGAATTAGCGAGAGAAGCAGTAAGGAAATCACTTGTGCTGTTGAAGAACGGGAGAGATAGTAACCAGCCGATGCTGCCACTCTCTACCAAGGCTCCGAAGATACTTGTTGCAGGTTCCCATGCTGATAATCTTGGATACCAGTGTGGTGGATGGTCAATTGAATGGCAAGGATTCAGTGGCAATGATCGCACTTCCGGTTCGATATTTCGTTCACCAAATGTACCTACAATCATAATAATTAATTGAGAGACTCTTCAACAATTAACATGTTTTTTAATTTGTTATGCATATTTCTTCAGGAACCACAATACTCTCTGCCATAAAAATGGCAGTTGACCCAAGCACTGAAGTCGTGTACCAGGAAAACCCTGCAGCAGATTATGTAAAGTCGGGCAGTTTCTCTTACGCCATTGTTGTGGTTGGAGAGCACCCATATGCAGAAACAGCAGGGGATAGTAACAACTTGACAATACCTGATCCTGGCCCAAGCATCATTCAGAATGTTTGTGGAACTATGAAATGTGTTGTAGTTGTTATCTCTGGGCGTCCCCTGGTGATTGAACCCTACATGGACTCGATGGATGCCCTAATTGCAGCTTGGCTCCCTGGAAGTGAAGGTCAGGGTGTGACCGATGTGCTGTTTGGTGACTATGGCTTCACTGGAAAGCTTCCCAGAACATGGTTCAAGAGAGTTGATCAGCTCCCTATGAATGTTGGGGACGAAAATTATGACCCTCTTTTCCCATTTGGGTTTGGCCTCGCCACTGAGCCAGTGAAGGTCAATTAAACATTACTAGCAAGGAAGCCCGCGCTGCGCGACGGGGCAGAAGTTAGGGTAACCATTAATATGCGATTATAAATAGATCATGAATCTGGTTATAACATAAAAAAAAGATACTAAAAAATCACTGTTTGGCACAATCCTTGTCTGCATAGAGATTGATGTAGTTGTTCAAGTGCTTTGAGTCTTTGCCCACATTTTCGGATGGCAGAAATTAAAATTGGAAGGAAAGCAAGAGCCTAACCTATGCAAATGAAGAAGGAAAACCCAAAAAAACATCAATTTGCAGCTGAGGTGATTGAACCACTAAGTAACAACCTGAGGGATGTGTTAATTCTTGGTGGATGAACAACTTCAATAAGCTGAAACAGTGGACAACAACATCTATTTGATTTGAATGAGAGAAACCCAAAGCAGATCATCATAAAGGTAAGTCGGATGAAATTCTTCAAGCATATCAATTCAACGCTATCATAGGTCAATAAAACGACCAAATGTTGAATGAAAGGCACGGTAATGCTACTGACTGAAGGCAACCAAATGAACAAATACTCCAATCTCATACTGCGATATAAAAAGGGTTGAAGCTGATCCTTATAATACTATAGTGACAAAAGTGGAAAGAAACCTACAATAACGGAACATTTAAAAAGGAAAATTTTGAAGTAAAAAACAGTTCGATAGAAAAAATGAAACATCAAAACAATTCAATAATGAAGTAAAAAATTGTGAAATTGAACAAAAGAGACCCTAGATGGTGTACTCGATTGAAGATCTATAGAAGCAAACTCATGAACATATACGCTGCACTCTATCAAACACCTATAGCAACAAATGGAACCAGTCAAATGGGAAACTATTAGATCATAACAGAATTGCATATGACTGGGGAAGGAAACAGTACCAAATAGTTGAAAGAAATCACAAAATTAATTTTGGATGAGTATCCATTGACTGTTTGGCATTGACAATTATCCTATGAGTATCCAAAACAAAATAAAAATACCAACCATACCTGAAAACAAAATCAATATAACACCTCAAGCTGAACTGCTAAAGTGAATATGAAAAGTAAGCACAAGTTACACCTGGGCAACACAAACCTGCATTCATTCTTATTTTAGAGACCAAACATGATTTCTAATTCACCGTGTAAAATAATAGAACATAACATCAACACAAGAATTTAAGATTTTGAAGTGGCATATGATGCTAAAACGTCATTCGTGGAACCTGATGAACATTCTCCTACTGATTCAAAAGATCGGCTAAAAGAATGCAAGAAAATATAGGAAAACATAGCAGATCCAAATAAGAACACAGACATTACCTGAAGCCTCTCAAGAATCAATGGTTCGCCAATGATACCAAATCATACCAGCATCACTTCCAACAGCATATTCCCAAGTGAGAGCATATAAAACTGAAATGAGTATATTGCTTTTAGTTCAGAGAAGCGTGTGTAAAAAAACAGTAAATTACCACGTATTGAAGGAGGTCCACCCTGTTCGTACAAGAAATCAGCAACCTCCCCAACCTTGTGGATCCAACGACTCATCATCCAGGAATCTTATGTTCCTGAAGTTCTTAGGGTCTATCAACCAATTAGAAATCATTTCAGCTTCCATATTCCATCACAGAGGACGACATTCGTTGTCTCCTATTCCATCCACCAAAATTACATCTTCAAGAATCCTGTAATGAAGTTAAAACAATAACACTGAATCAAATGGTTCTGTTATTTATGCATAGTTGATTCACTACCAGCGGCGCTTGCTCCCGAGCAATAAAAAAACAATATGTGCAAGATCAAGAACATAAAAACCAATACCAACATCGTTAATCATAATCCAGCAATACTCAATTGTTGTGTGTGAGATAAATATTTGGATTTCAGTGGGCTAAAAAGAAAGGATACTGACAACACTAATAAGGATATTGCAAGTAAACTTCAATCATGACTACATGCTTTGTCGGAAAAAAGAAGGGATGACACTAACAACACTAATTTCCTCTGGATTCTAAAAGGAATCCAATATCAACACTTAAACCACACCTATTCGTGAAGATCAAAAGTATCATAAAAGCACAGAAAAAAATACCTGAACAACATAGTCATCTAACTCATCTCCACCACTCTATACGCCTGGATGCACCTAGCAAATGACCATTGAGATGACTCAGCAACAAAAGCAGAAATCACTTTTTTCTACTTGTTTAGATTCTCGTCTTAAAACCAGCGAAACAGTCGTAGAAAAAACACACAGGCGTTACTCGGATTGATGCATATCATGAAGGGTTAGAAGGGCATATAAGGAATAGGCTAGTGCCGGTTTGACCCCAATCCGAAACTGCAATTGTTTGGTAGTGATAGACTGAGTAGAATACCCGCTCACCAACTGGCCACCATGACGATACATCCTCTCAAGAGGCAATACGATGAAACGCTTCCCTGGAATAAGCAGAAACCCATTTCAAATTTATCATCAATTCATAAAATGGCTTGAGTAATCAAATTGAAGAAACTAACAGTTCTGTGTTCATGGAGTGGAAAATGGCGCCAAGTGAAGACTCCAACACAAAGTCCGAACGTTCCATAGCAACAGTGGAGCTAGGAGAGACGGTAGCAGGGAGCAATGAATCAATGGATATGCTTTGTAGAAGGACAAAGGGGATACCTCAACATAAATACTGTAAACATAGAACCCCAAAAGGGGATTAATTGGGATTCCCAGCGTTCCAGTAATGGCGAAGACTGACTGTTGTGTTTTTGCTGCATCCTGGAAATCAGAATCACAAGTTGGAAATAAGAAAGAGAGACCCAAATAAAAGGAAACTAACAATTGAAACTGACAATCCCCAAATTAGCAATTAAAATCCCATGATGAAACTGGAAAGGAACAGAGGAGATAGTGACATGTCATCGCTGGGGAGGTTCCTTGCATTGCCTTTCATAGACTAACCACCAGAAAAGTGATCGGATTTGTGCCATAAAAAAAAGGGAGCTTTGTGCCAAGCAAATCCAGAAAAAGAAAGAGACCATGGGAAACAAGAATAAAAGGTTAGATTCAAGAGAAGAAGGGACAGGAACTGCAGCCAGCAGTGCGAGTTAGAGATCGTTCTGGAAACCGGTTCTTCTTCTTCCTGAGACGGAGAGAGAAATGTCGATGACGACTTCTTCTCACTTCTCCCTTGGCGGGAATCCGATAAAAAAAAAACATATCAGAACCAAAACAAAGAAAGGCAGACACCCATAGTATAAATAGAGCAAAATTTTAAAAGAAGAGACTTACCTAGAGAGCAGTGGGTAGTTCTCGTCGCCTCTGCTCCCTTCGGAAATATACAACGGCGACAGTTCCTCTTCTCCTGCTTACCCTTGCCGCCATCGCCGTGCTTACCCTTGCCGGCATCACCGTTCACGTCTTTCTCCTTCCCTCTCCCTGAGCGAGAACCCCATAACAAAAAGAGAAGTAATCAGAACTCAAGCAAAAAGGAAAGCGCCCATGACCTAAGTCGTCGCTGCCGTTACAATTACTGGTATCCACAGCAGTCCTTCCCGTCGCCGCCATCGCCTTCCTTACCGTTACCGCCATCGACGTTCACGTCTTTCTCCTTCCCTCTCCCTGATCGAGAACCCCATAACAAAAAAAGAAGTAATCAGAACTCAAACCAGTAAAAAATATCTGGAAATGTAATATGCAAAAAGGAGAACGCTTCTGATCTAAGTCATCGTCGCCGGGACCATCTCCGGCGTCCATGACAGACCTTTCCCCCGGCGCCATCGTCGGCCTCCCACTTGCCGAGAGTGATGTTCACGTCTTCACTCTCCCCATTTTCTTCACCTTCAACAGACAAAGGAGAGTGGGTGCTGGGAAGGGATATGCAAGAGGGAGGGGAATGACAAAGAAAGGGAGGACAGAAAAGCAACCGAGAGAGAGAGAGAGAGAGAGAGAGAGAGAGCGCTGAGGAAAACAAAAGGAAGATGAAATAAAGTGTGATGTGACGTTGAGCAGCCCAATAGTCTCGAAGAGAGCAAACGAACAAATATTTAAATTACAATAATGGAACCTACAGAACCAAATAATTACTATAGTGCCACCCATTGGATGGGACACTAAGGAACAGTAGAATTATGACATGTCTTATGATAAATAGAATTGTATCCGTTGTCCACTTTCGAGGCAGAGTATTGGAAATAAGAACTGAAATTGTAACAGATAACTGCGGGAAAGTTAGTGTTGTTTTCTTTTAACGAGGAAAGATACTGAATTTATTATAGGTGTTTCAGAACTTGATCATCTTTGCCACGGAGACATAGATGTCACATGACAGGGGAAACACAGAGCTTACAACTACTCCACATTCTCTATAACAGCTGTGTCCTCTTCAATCTGCCTCAAAATGTCAGCTTTCTGGTCCATGAGAACTTGTATTTTCCCATTGATCTTCTCCAACTTGTTTTTCAGCTTCTCCACATCCTTGGTCTTGCCCTTCTCATCAAGTTTCCTCTTTTTGTTATCACTCTTCCCTTTCTCTATCTTATCTTTACCATCCTTGCCTTCATTCTTCTTCACGTCATCCTCTGCTTCGCCTTCTGATTCTTTCACATCACCTTTGGTCTCAATACCCCTGGAGCTGGATGTCACTTCTGCCTTGTCAACCTCTTCCTCGACCTTCTTTGCTTTCTCTTCCTTGTCCTCCTTCTTCTCTTTCTTCTTCCTATTCTCATCTTCATCAGTTTTACCCTTCTCTTTCTTCTCCTTTTCCTTCTTACCTCCCTTCTCTTCTTTCCCTTTACCTCCATCCACTTCGTCCTCGTTTCCCTTGTCCTTCTTCTCTTTCTTCTTCTTCTTGCTTTCATCCTTCTGTTCCTTCTCCTTTTTCTCATCATCTCCCTTCACTTCTTTATCCTTTACACCATCATTCTCCTTGTCCTTTTTCTTCTTTTTGCTTCCATCTTCGCCTATTTCATCTTTCGGTTTCTTCTTCTTATCTCCCTTCTCTTCTTTCTTGTCAGTTTCATCCCTTTCATCTTCATGTTTTTTGTTCTTCTTCTTATCATCTCCCTTCTCTACTTTCTCCTCACTTTCATCCTTCTCACCCTCATGATTCTTGCCCTTCTTCTTATCTTCTTTCTGTTTGCCTTTGTCTGCTACATCTTTGTCCTTCTTCTTTTTATTTTTCTCTTCAGACCCTTTTTCATTTCTATACTCCTCTTCTTCCGATTCAACCTCCTTTCCTTTAACCTTCACTTCTTTCTCCTTCTCCTTCTCTTTCTTATCTTTCTTCTTCTCTTTACCATCTCCATCTCCAACCTTCTTCTCGCCCTCTTCCTCATGTTTCTCATCTCCTTTAACCTTCTTCTTCTCCTTCACTTTCTCATCTTTCTTCTTCTTCTCTTCTTTCTCTGGTTTATCATCATCATCCTCTTTCTTCTTCTCCTTTTTCTTCTTCTTGTCCTCCTTTTCGAGGGACTTGGTCTTCAATTCAAGCTCCAACTCAACCTTATCCTCCTTTGCCTTCTCACCATGTGGAGCTTTGTCCTTAATCTTCAATTTCATCTCCATTTCAGAAGCCGAAGCTTCAGATTTCGGCTCCATCTCTCGAGGGAATCGGAACTGAAACGAAAGTTCTCTCCTTCCCGATTTCAGGTCAACTGTTAATAATAAAACCCAATTAACAAAATTGAGAATTCAGAAGCAGGACACCAGCAAAGCAAAGCAGATCAAAGGAAATCAAAACCGAAATTCAATCAGCGACCTGACAAGGATTCCGATCGCATTCTAACTGATCCGATCAAATGGAATGCAGAACCCCAGGCTAAGTCGTGCAAACGATCGGAATTGAAAAAAAAAAAAAGGTAAAGTAGGGTTTAGGGGTAAGTTGGATGCTTACCTTCGAAGACAAACGAGAAAGAAAGCAAAAGGTACTCTTTCTTGCTTCGGTTGTGTTCTGGCGAATTGAGGAGAGAGATATATCTCCAAGGAATTGATTCGGGTTGGGCACATCTTCTTCCTCGGCCGGCCTATTTATAGGCTCCCACTTTCCTTCGTACCAGTCTGTTGACATCATTGCAGTGGGTGGGGGAAGAAAATCAGTCGGCGACACGCAAAGGCCACGACCACGACTTCTTTCACCGCGGGAGATGGCGGTGGGAAAAGTGCTCTTCCGAGTTCCTTCCTTTCCCCAGCTGTTCACTAGGGGTGGGCATCGGTACGGTTCGGACCGGACCGCACCGCATCTTTGACCGCGAAGTTATCGGTGCGGTCAAACCAAACCGCATAAATTAACGGTTTGGTATGGTTTAGACCGCACCGCATTTTGACCGCAAATGACAAGAAAAGAAGGAAGCTTGGAAATAACAAAAAAAAATGGCAAGGATTCCCGCTCCGTTTCTGTGTACTGATGCAAACCTGACAAATTTATTCAATTGGGAACACAGAAACACCAAGTACATACTCGATCATCATGCCACCAAAAGTCCAAAATAGAGCTATGAAGGCAAGAGAAGTAGAAGATGGCAGCACAAGAAGAACCATGACTGCTCAACAACTATTGAATGCTCCATTTTCTTAGTTATCTGTTGTAGTTTTGAAATAATAGCAAACAAAAAAAATGGCAGGGTTCCTCTCCACATTGCTCTGTTTCCGGCCATCAAAACAGAGCATATGCTCTGATTTCCCCATGCCTTGCATCTGCTGCTTTCTTCTTGCGGAACTTTGTTTCTTGGCTAGATCCCCTACACATGAACCCATTGAATATACTGTAAGATGGGTGGGGAAAAACATTAAACCTCCAAGAATGACAAAACATAGGCAGATAGTTCCATTTGATTGCCCAGATTGCATTACCTAAAAAGATTAACAATATAATGGCTATCAGCAGACTTATATTCTTGAAATTGTATTGGACATAGCATTGGGAGCATCAGTGTATAAAGTATTAGATCCTAGGAAGTTGGAACCACTACTGATGACGGAAAAAACACCATATAGTAGTTAGTTTCTAGGAAAAGAACTATGCTTATATGGATCAGCTACAATCAAACCATTGCTCAATTGATTTTGACGGAAATATGCTACTGCTAATAGTTTGAAAAATGAACTAAGGAATATCCTAGACATTAGGAAAACTAACAAAATCTACAGATCATATGGGAAAAAGGAAAAGAGTTTGGAAAGAAAAAGAAACAAATAATTTGACCACTCCCTATCAAAGTCTCGAAGAAGAAACAATTGTACTTAAGTGAATACAATGCAGTGTAAGAAATAGAATAGAATAAGCCAGAGCAGCCAACTATCTCAAACATTAGAACAAGCCAGAGCAGCAAAAACTGAAATTGGTGAGTCTATTTCCTTTCCAGCAGCAAAAAAGAACCATACAACCCATCAACATACTTAATCTTGACACCCCTGAATTGTACCTGAAACCAAAAGAACTAATTCCGACCAAACCCTACTCGAAGAACCAGTATATGCAATTAGCTCTAAAATGGTGTCCATATAAAGTAGTGAATAAACATGCAAAAGGATTTACCTAATCACAGTGATCACTCAGCTGAACTATGCATTATAAATCATCACCTGACCCCATTAATCAAATCCATGAAAAAACAGCAAATCTTGTAAAAAAACAAACAGAAGAAGCATAGCCTCAGAAGGAAGGCAGTAGTGGTTTGTATGTGTACTCTTTGGGAAGGTGGATGAAGCTAAAGAGCTTCCAACTAGATTTCAGCCTTCCGTGCCTAAGTATAATGCTCTGATCCATTGGATTATGCAAGGAGGAAAGGATTCTGGAGGTGATTCAGCTGTCATAATGGATTGAGTTATAACCTCACTTACTCAAACAGTTATAACCTCACTTGCAGACAGGTGGAAGGATTGAGTTCCTTTCCTGACAGTAGCTAGCTTAGATAAAGTAGGATCAATTTCTTTGTTTGGTGATATCATATATGATAATGGCTAAGAGACACCAATCACCGCAAGTCAGTTGGGTGGTGGAAATTGATAGATTGACTGAATGAGGTTTTCCCTGCCCCATTACCTAAATTCTGAAACCCCACAGAAACACACACCCAAATGCAGAAATCAACTCTGAAACCCCAATACAGAAACACACACCCAAATAAATTGACGAGTACACTAAGAAGTCAACCATAGTAAAGAAACTCACCTCACTAACACTAAGCACATTGTTGCTGGGTATCGGTGCTTGAGCTCGTTTTCCCTGTGAGCCTTTTGATTTCATCTTTCCGATAACAGTATCTTTTGTTTCCCTATTGCCTGATATCGAAATCACAGATTCATTACAGCCCTACAAGCATATGAAAGAAGACATCAGGAACATAATATACAATAAACATCAGGAACATAATATACAATGAACATCCATGGATTTCCATTACTGAGCTATTCTCAAGATAAACTTCAAATTCCTTTTTTCATTCATTTAGTAGTTCACATTCTGGGTCATGAACAAAATCGCCAAAAACATCCTAAACATGGTTTTATACAGCATACAAAAACTCTTATACACACACCATACTCTTACACCAGTTGATGTTCTGGACTCTTCAGCAGGAGCACAGAAAGAATACATCTCGCTGGAATGCCAACTAGCAATCATTCAATCAACTACATTCTTAACCCCAGGAGTTCAACTACTCAGTTAAGCAAACTCAGTAACTCGAATCTCGATAAGAAGCAACATAACACGGGAAAATCTCAATGCAGCTATACTGATTCTGCTACTCAAAGTGTAATAGAAGAAACTGTACATGATAATGGATCCAAACATCAGAATGGGTTCACACTTGATAGGCAATTCGAATTTCGAAACATGAGAAACCAAAGCAAATACAACACAACAACCCAATATGTAACTCTATTCCTACTTGAAAACCCACGGAGGGCAAAGGGATCAGTGGGTCGGTCGCCGCCTTGGTGGAGGTCCGACGGGATCAGTGATTCGAGATTGAATCCAAAAGAGACCGACCAAGATTCAAGGATATGAAGAGGGAGGGAGAGAGTACCAGAACGGCGGTGTGACCCGGGATGCAGAGGCCGGCGGAGGTGCGAATCTAGATGTTAGGTCAGGGAAAGAGACTGGGGATGGCGGTGGAAGAACAGAGTAAAGAGTTGGGTGATTGCAAATCTAGGTTGAAGGAGAAGGAGGAGATTCTGGAACACTACAAGAGGCTTTTGGAGGAGAGCAAAGATGCGATGAAGGAGAAGGAGTCGGCGATGAATCGATTGAAGGAGGTGATCGAGGACAGGGATGGAGAGATTCGGCGATTGAAGTTGAGGTTAAAAGAGGCGGGTGGTAGTGGCGGCAATGGAATTGGTACAACCGGAGGTGACGAAGAATTGAAAGCGATTAGGGATCGTTTGGTCGCTAAAGAGAAACAGGTGGATGATTTCAAGGCGGCTGTCAAATGCTTTTTCAGGACTGGCGGATCTGGCGGGGACTGGCCGACTGGGTGAGGAAGAAGAATCGCCGCCGGGAGGATTGCAGTTTGCGGTGAGGAAGAAAAATCTCTGCAAATCTACTCGAGCGTTGGTGGTGGACTGGTGGGCGACCTTCAGTAAGAATTACCGGTTTGCGGTTTTGAACCGTGTGGTTTCAGTCAAACCAAACCGCGAACCACGAACAACTAAATGGTTAGTCCGCAAATGAAACCGATAGTTAACGGTGCGGTTTGGATTGACCGTTGGAGCGGTTTGGTGTGGTTTGGTCAAACCAATGCCCACCCCTACTGTTCACCCTCTTCTCCCCTTTGGTTTTACTATTTAACTTCCTCTAGTCCTCTTTTCTGGGCCGTATTTGGATGATTGGCAATCCCCACGATTTGGGCCTATGTAGATAAGCCCGTTTAGTAGTTGGGTTTGGACTAATGGGCTTCTGGCTTCGCTGTAGGGCCAATACTACGGTGTCGCTGTTAAAAAGTGAGGCACCGGTGACACAATCTATGATTGGTCCACATGGACAATAACATGACACTGGTTAAGTTAATTAAACCCCAACCTAAATGAGGCGGACATGAGTCGGCCAAACCCCACACCGCCATAACGGAGAAGCTTTATTCCGTCTTCTTATCTCCGTTTTTCATTTTTTTCTTAATTCCTTTAAAATTCATTTTACTTTTCTACACAATATATAATAGCAGGAAGGGAACAACTGTTGCTCCATTTCAAATTTTCTGTAACGAGAGTGAAAGTAGGAAGGACATTTTGGTCTTCACAATTACTTTTTTTATTCATTAAAAAGACACTTACTAGGATTCGAAACATGACCACTTTAAAGAAAGCAAAGATCATAACCAATCACACTAAATACAATTGTTGTATCTTTTTAAATTAAAAACATATATACTGTGACATGCACGGTGGTGGCGAGCTCTCCCACTCCAACGAGCGACGACACCATCGAAGAAAACGACTAAGGCGGCAAGCGCCCTCCAACTCTCATTTTGCGCCACATTCCCGTCACAATCGCCTCTCTCCATCCGCCATCCCATTTCGATCTCTCTTTTGGTTGGATTTGTACGAAGGACAAGAAGAGAAAGAAAGAACACTCGCTTTCGGAAGAGAGCAGCGGCAGTTAGAGATGGCAGTGAGTCGGGTTGGGTCGGATTTTGCCAAACCCAAATCCATGGGTTTATCCGTAAAAAACCCGAGGTAAATCCCAATGGGTTTGGAAAACTCAAACTCAACCCAACCCGTTGGGTATCCACGGGTTCATGGGTACCCATGGGTTTTTGTGGTAAGAAATTTACAATAACAAGTTCCTATTAAAATAGAAGTCAAACATCAATTTCTCCATACAATTATCCATACATAAAACAATAGTCTAGAAAATTGAAACAATTCACAAATTATCCATACAAATTGTAAATTAGATTGGGGAAATTAGAATTAGGGTAGGATTTGGAGAGACTAGGCGACGGAATAAGTGTGGGCGGGTATCCATCGGTCGTGCATCCCGAAATCCAAAACCAACCCAGTGAAATGTAACGGGTTTAAATCTGAACCCGGTCCAAAACCCGTCAACACTGGTTTTAACTGCGTTGACCGGATTGGGTCGGGTAGGGTACCCGTGGGTTCGGGTTTTGTTGCCATCCCTAGCGGCATTATATCAATAAAATTGAAAAAGAGTAGGGGAATTAGGGGTTCATGGGGTGGAACCGTGGGAGGGAGGCAAGCGAACGGTTTCAATTTTTATTCAATTTTAATATTTTTTAAAATCAAGTTTCTCATAAGATGGTGTACAGCTGGGCATGCAGGCGGATCATCAGCGGGTTGGGCCGACCCACTCGCATTTGAACCGAATTTCATTGTGTGAGTGGGTATGTGGGTGGGTGACCCGCTCAACCCAATCCAACAGCAAAAAGAATAAAGTCTTTGGTGCTGGGAAGAGGAGAGTGGAGACATTAGATGGAAAATAGGGTTGCTCCTGGAGATTAAACCTCAAAACCAACCTTCCAAATAACGTCCCCTCTTCTTCCCTTTATTTTTTCCATCTGATCTTGTGCCTAGATCACCACTCTTTCCTCCGTTAAATTATTTTTTTAGTTCCCTGCAATTGATAATCATCTTCATCTGTAGAAAACTCATCCATAATAGAATTTCTATCTAATTTCAGAACTAATTCGATATTTCCCCCGTATTCCATCTTCTTGTTTCCGCTAGATGACTCTCTCCATCGATTATCATGTCAAGTTGAATCCTTTATATTATATACATAGTGATGTGGGTGAACCCACAAATCAACCCGCATCATCCACCATCCTCCCGACCCAACCGGAGACTAAATATGGGTGGGTGGTAGGTAAAAATTCATCAATTCGTTTAAACGCGGGTAGGTGCGTTTTATGGTCAAAATTCGCCCGGCCCACTCAATGCCCACCCCTACGATAGTGTTCCAGAGGAAAAGAGTCACATATGATTTTCATGGTTGAAACCGAACCGGACCGGATTCAATCCAATCCGGTCACGGTTGAAACCGTATCCAATCCAATCCAATTTTCAGCTGTATATTAAGCAATATTAGCATACAAAAAACCGGGTAAAATCAAGGTGGTTAAACCGGACCAGCCCGTTTCCCACCCCTAAGTGACACTGTGTTAGACATTGACGTGTGCACTATAGTCATATCCCCAACAATCACCTTTCATCATCATCTACAATCAGTTACCACCCTATATTAGGGTGGTATATTTGGTCGTGAAAATTCTTTATTCTGAAATTTGTAGATCTAGTAGATCACGATGAACTAGTTTCTTTTGAAAAAAATGTCCAAAATTTGAGTGAAAAACAAAAGTGGTACATAATAATATCAGGATGACAACAAATGGCATGGGTAATAAAAAAATCGAAATATATTTAAAATGAATATCGGAGACAAGTTTCTCGTCCATGTCAATAACACCCACAGATCTTTTCTATATATAAGAATGGCCAATTGGCCATAAAGGACCGGAATGTTAATAACATAATTGTACCGCAGTGAAGAGTGAATAAATGCTAAAACAAGGTACTTTAATTTAGAACATCCTATCCTCCTATAAATCCTATAAGGACTAAGGAGATTCTCCTTGAAAACTCTCTCAGCTAAATTTTCCTGGCCTCTGCGCACACTTCGGAAGGTCAACATGGTCTTTGTATATATTTGGCTTTTGCGCTACTTCTTTTTCCCGTCGCTACTTTTGCGGGTTAATGGACAAAAGCTCCACCATTTTTATATTATTTATAGGATGTTAGCATAATTAAATACATATATTGTATTATATTATACATCTTATATCCTAACACTAATATAAAAATATTTTTATGCCATCTAATTCTAAATTGGTAGAGATTCTCTATACGAAGATGCTTAATTCTAAAAATTGGTTTGTGATGTATAGTTTTGCTTAATTCTAAAAATTGGTTTGTGATGTATAGTTTTTTTTACTATAACGACAAACCAGCAATTTCGTTTGCTTTCTTTTTTCATAACTTCGCTTGGTTTTGATCAATTATTAGTTAGAGGATTATATTAGTGAGATAATAATTCTTATCAAAACTTCCTTTGACACTAACATATTATTTTGTTATGTTATAACTGCTTCATTATTATTTTGAGCTTTTAATTTACTTCATACTATTATTGAAAACTATATTTATTGATTCTATGGATTAAAAATATATTCACCTTAAAAATCATCTTATTGACAAAACAATGTTCTCTTCAAACAACCAAGTAAAAGGGACAAAATTATGGTGAATAACCTCCTTTAATTACAGCTGACACAAAATTCAAGAGCCATAGTTAAGGGATTCTTAATTTCTCGCAAATTTAGAGGACTTTATCTCATCCATTTCAACTATGATTTTAAATGGGTTAGAAAAACCATATTAATTGAAACTTTCCAAAGAAATTTTGTAGAGAAGACTATGGTCAGTAGTTTTATAAGAATTATACAACAACATCAAAGACAATAGTAGTCAGGTAAAAATCTAACTCTACTCTTCTATGTTTTTAACTTCAAGTTCATTCATTAGGGAGAAATAAACGTACCCACTAAAACAATAAATTTTCAACCAAATAATGTATCTCAATTTTTGTTATTTTATAGATCCGAGAATAGTGTGAATTGTATACAATATTTTGTTAATCTAACTTTATTGTTCTGTATCGCGAGGAAGCTAGATTTTTTGAAATGACTATTGTGAAACTATTCAAAGATAGTTACACAGTGAAAGAACCTTTACCTCCTCATCACATACAAACCGAGAGAACAAAGTTAAATTTTCAGATCAAGCTCACCGATTACAACATCGTGAACCCATAATTGGGTACATAGTTTTGAAGATTATGAAGAATGAAAGAAGAGAATATCAGACAAATTGCATAAAATGTATGTAAAGTGAAGTTCTTGAAAATGAAATTTTCACAATTCAAAAGGTTTTGCTATTAAATTTTTGCATTCAGTGAAATGCAAGAGAAGAAGGAATATTATTCTAATAGTAGAGGTAGTGAATTCAATGATGGAGATAAGGACGTGTATGAGGTGAAATTCTACTACGGTGAAAAGATGTTTCAAATTTTCAAGCATTTTATCATTAAAATTTGGTTTACAATGAATTGCAGGAGAAGAAGAGGCTATTGATAGTGAATATAAAGTTTCATTAACGAAGATGAAGTTGTATGGAGAAAATACTTTTCATGGTTGAGCAATCAAAAGGAAATTTGCAGTAACTTCGAATAGCAAAGAGTAAATTGAACTGCATTTTGAATATTAAGTTATTTAGAAAACGGTTACTTGCATGAGTTGTTTTGTTTAGTTTTGATAATGATTTTTTTCATGAATGATCAAGGCATTTTAAAACTTATAATGTATGTTGTTTCTATACTTTTAATAATTGAATAATTTGGTTCTTTCATATTACCCAATAAATGATTTGGATAATTACTATACATTTAATATAATTTATCCGACCAACGGGCAGACCCAACTCTAGTCTATCTATCTATCTATCTATAAAAATATTAAAGGACTTTCTGATTTTGGCCCATGCCACGTAATCCTTTCTCTACATACACGCTATCCACGTCAGCCACTCTATTCCTTCTCCAACCGTCATCCCAACAGTTCGTTCTCCTCATCGGCGGCCCATAAAAACCTCTTGGCAAACTTTCGGGCATCCAAC